CTGGGACAACTGGCTCCTAACTGCTCACCTGGCTGCCTGCCTGATCGCCCCTAATCATTCTGCCTGCCAACATGCTCCCCTCCAACTGTGCCCCCCCACCGCCTTCTCATCCCCAACTGTGCCCCCCTGCCCCCGCCGCTGGCCTGATTGCCCCTAACCACCTGTGCCTCAATCCTGTTACCATGGCTTTTTCCTGGAAGGTCGTTCAAAAGGTGTCCTGGAAGGTGTCCCTGTCTAATTAGCACATTATCCTTTTATTAGTATAGATTATATATATATAGATAAGATTGTGATAGGTTTGCATGGCCACAGATGACAACTAGGATTAATAGGGTGATCCCAATGTAAGGTATATAAATATATATTTAAGGTATATAAATATATATATATATATATATATATATATATATATATATATATATATAGTTTGAACACCTGAAACTAATATAATATTTTGTACCAATTACACAAATTATATATATATATATATATATATATATATAAAATACTAAAAACATCTCAATGAACTGAATGAATTTGGACTCTCGGTTAACAATAAGGTATCAATATTAGTTCATTATTGTAGGATATAATTAATATATTAATAATGAAGTAGTGAAGGATGTAAGGGAATTCTGTACTATCTTCTCAATTTCTCTGTAAATTTAAGACTTTTCTATAATTAACGTTTACAATAAGAAAACACAGAGGGATCTGACAGTCATTGGACTGTCTAAAACTAGAGAGCCTGTTAATACCAAATGTACAAAGGGGAGCTCTCGTATGCATGTTGGTAGCTGCTGTGAGTAGGTTCTTTTTGTTTTGTTTTTATCACAAACTAGAGGTCTGGTGCACAAAATTCATGCATGGGGGGTTGTCCCTCAGCCCAGTCTGTACCCTATCCAATCTGGGACCCCCTCAAGGGATGTCTGCCTGCCCAAATAGGCCCGATCCTGGTAGGGATCAGTCAGACATACCGCTCATAATCCAGGACTGGTGGCTCCCAATTGCTTGCCTGCCTGCTTTCCTGATTGCCCCTAACCACTTCAGCCTGCCAGCCTGATCACCCCCTAACCACTCACCTGACAACCTGATTGATGCCTAACTGTTCCCCTGCCAGACTGTTTGCCCCTAACTGCCCTCCCATGCAGGCCTGGTCCCCCCTCAACTGCTCTTCCCTGCAGGCCTGGTCCCCCCTCAACTTCCCTTCCCTGCAGGCCCGGTTGCCCCCAACTTCCCTCCTCTGTCATCCTGATCATCCCTAACTGCCCTCCCCTGAAGGCTTGTTCGTCCCCAACTGCCCTCCCAATTGTCCTCCCCTACTGGCCATCTTGTGGTGGCCATCTTTTGTCCACATGGAGTGATGGTCAATTTGTGTTGGAGTGATGGTCAATTTGCATATTACTCTTTTATTCGATAGGATAAGATTTGTTATTTGTCACTCTGAAGTCTGAGTAAGCAGAGTGTTGGCCTGGGCTCATGTCCATCTGCCCATTCACTTGAGTGCTGTCTCATTCCCACTCGGCTTTCCAGAGCTGCGCCCTTCACTGTGAAGCTCTGTGAGTTTCCCCCGTTCAAACTTGGGCTCCTTCAGCATTTGACTTTTCTTTCTTTCGTTTTCTTTTTCTTTTTTAAATATGTCTTAATTGATTTCCAAGAGAGAAAGGGAGAAAGAGAGAACTATTGATTGGCTGCTTTCTGCACATCCCCTACTGGGAATCAAGCCCACAACCTGGGCATGTGCCCTGACCAAGAATCGAACCGTGACCTCCATGCTCATTTGACTTTTCTAACAAAGTAATCGCGGAGTGGGCAAATAGATTGGCAAATCTTTTCCGTGTCTTTTCCAATGCTACCTGGAATCAGCTTATTGACATCTTTCAAGTCATTTGCACCCTTAGGTCATGATTTCCATCATCTTCTGGATTTGACAGACCTGATTATGAGGTAAGAGGTCTTCTGGATCTGATTGTTTTTAATTTTTTAAAATTAAAACCAACACAAAACAGATGAGGCAAATAACATTGGCAGTCTTGACATCAACATGAGCTTCAATCATGGTTGGCCACGTTTTTACCATGGAGCACACTTTGTCTGACACGGGTAAGATCCATGCCATGGGAGTTAGGCAGCTCAGGCCCTGAACAATTGGTAATTTGGGTTTCTAGCTGCAGTTTCATCGTTCTGCAGGCCAGCAAAGCTCACTCGAAAGACATGACCCCTGAGGCCCTCAGATGGGACTTCGGTTCCTGAGTCCTTGTGACTAGCGTTTTCCCAATCTTCCTTACCGTGCACAGAGCTGGCACTCTCGCGCAGGCCGCTTTTTCTTAGAGAACGGATCACACACTTTCTTCTTGGTTCCTTTGTGCCACCTTCTGTGAGCACTTGCTCTTGCCCACCACCATGGTGCTGCTCACAAAGGCAGAGGCTGTGGGTAGGTTCTTATTTATTTATTTATTTATTTATTAATATATTTTATTGATTTTCCTCAGAGAGGAAGGGAGGACAGAGAGCTAGAAACATCGATGAGAGAGAAACATCGACCAGCCGCCTCCTGCACACCCCCCACTGGGGATGTGCCCGCAACCAAGGTGCACGCCCTTGACCGGAATCAAATCTGGGACCTTTCAGTCCACAGACCGACGCTCTATCCACTGAGCCACACCAGCTTCGGCAGTAGGTTCTTCTTCTTTTTTTTTTTTTTTTAATCTTTTAAAAAATATATATTTTTACCCCTAGCTGGTTTGGCTCAGTAGAGTGTCTGCCTGTGACCAAAGGGTCCCAGATTCAATTCCAGTCAAGGGCATGACATATGGACATATCGGTTGCAGGCTCCTCCTCAGCCCGGGGCCTGATCAGGGTTAGTGCAGGAGAAAACCAATGGATGTGTTTCTGTCTTTCCCTCTCTCTAAAAAATCAGTGTAAAAATATCTTTTGGTGAGGATTTACACACACACACACACACACACACACACACACACACTAGTGGCCTGATGCACAAAATTCATGCACAGAAAAAGGCAATTAGAGGAAATAATTTAATATTGCTTTTTGCCCTTTCTCTATAGTAGCAGTGTCAGAGAGGAAAGAAAATTAGTAAAATGTATATGAAAACCTTCCTCCTTCAGAGTCTGGGGCAAATCACAAGATCCAGAGTCAAGTCCCTGCCCACCCACATGCACCTCAAAATCGCGTGAGGCCCAGACCCAGCTGGCCCCTGCCCCCATTGGGCTAGATCTGGCTACTCCCACCCTTGTCTAACCCTGTCACTGCCTCAGGTCCCCCAACAAGCCCCACTGGCAGGGGGTGCAGCCTCAGGTCCCCTGGCCTGGTGCTAGGGCGGGGGGCGAGGCCTGAGGTCTTCTAGCCCAGGACCAGGTTGGGAAGTGCACCTTGAGGTCCCCCATCAAGCCCCACTGGGTGCAGGGCGTGGCCTCAGGCCCCCTGGCCTGGTGCCAGAACAGGGGGCGAGGCCTGAGGTCCCCTGTCAAACGTATATTCTGAGGTCCCCTATAGTGCTGGAGTGGGGGCACGGCCTGAGTCCCCCCAACCCAGGACTGGGGGTGCACCTTGAGGTCCCCTGTGAAGCTCTGCTGGGTGGGGGGCACCACCTGAGGTCCCATCAAGCCCAGCCAGGCAGGGGGCTCAGCCTCAGGTACCCTGGCCTGGTGCTGGGGTGGGGTGCGATCTGAGGTTCCCTGGCCTGGTGCTAGGGCAGGGGCGCAGCCTGAGGTTCCCTGTCAAGCCCATGGGGGCCGGGGGAGGGTGTCAAGCCCATGGGGGGGGGGGGCGGGAGGGAAGGTTCCCTGTCAAGCCCATGGGGGCGGGGGAGGGAGGTCCCTGATGATTGCTCATTAAGGCTCCTTATGGGAACTTGTCCTCAGTTGTGTGTGCAGCCATCTTTGTGACGGAGTGATAGTCAATTAGCATATCCCCCGTTTATTAGATAGGAGATATATATATATATATTCCCTCCCTTCAGTTTACAGGCCAAAGCTCTATCCACTGCGCCAAACCGGATTTTTAACTCTGGCAGAGAAAATTTTGCTTTCACATTGTAGCCTGCCTTATAAACAGGTCTGTAAGGGAATGGATTAACACAAAAGATCCTGGAGGTTTCCGATTAGTAAGTGGTGTTCAATGAGTGGGTTGCAGAGGCCAGTTCCAGCGCATGAAGCTCGGATAAAGTCAGCAGGCCGCCGTTTACAGCTGCGGTGGGTAAGCTTTCCACCCCAACACGCGCACGTGTCTGTCCCGCCAGAAGCCCCGGCCTCAGCCTGGGACACCGGCGCGCCCGCTCCGCCTCCTGGGCCTGCGGGGTTCGCGGGGCGGCGGACCGGCTGGGCGGCCGCTCCGCCAGCACCGGGCAGAGGCCGGCCTCACCGGGGGACAGCCACGCGGAACCGAGCCCCGAGGGGCCGCGGGGCCGCCCCCTCTCCCCCCGGGAACCCCCGCTTCCCGGCGGGACTGGGCGGTGGCTCCGGGCGTGGCGAGGGGAGGGGAGCCGCTCGGGGCGGGCGGGGCCGGAGGGGCGCGGCGGAGGGCGGGGGGGCCGGCCTGGGCGGACCCGGAGGGGCGGGGCCGGAGGGGCGGGGCGGAGGGGCGGGGCGGGGCCTGCCTGGGCGGGGCGGGGGACGGGGGGGCCGGCCTGGGCGGGCCCGGAGGGGCGGGCCCGGAGGGGCGGGGCGGAGGGGCGGGGCGGGGCCTGCCTGGGCGGGGCGGGGGACGGGGGGCCGGCCTGGGCGGGCCCGGAGGGGCGGGGCGGGGCCTGCCTGGGCGGGCCCGGAGGGGCGGGGCGGGGACGGGGCGGGGCCTGCCTGGGCGGGCCCGGAGGGGCGGGGCCGGAGGGGCGGGGCGGGGCCTGCCTGGGCGGGGCGGGGGACGGGGGGCCGGCCTGGGCGGGCCCGGAGGGGCGGGGCGGAGCCTGCCTGGGCGGGCCCGGGGGGGCGGGGCGGGGCCTGCCTGGGCGGGCCCGGAGGGGCGGGGCCTGCCTGGGCGGGCCCGGAGGGGCGGGGCCTGCGGCGCGGGAACCCCAGCCCGCGCTGCCCGCGCTCCGCCATGGCCCCCGCGCTGCTGCTGGTCCCGGCCGCGCTCGCGTCCTTCCTGCTGGCCTTCGGCACCGGCGTGGAGTTCGTGCGCTTCGCCTCCCTCCGGCCTCTGCTCGGCCGGGCGCCGGAGCCCGCGGGTGCCGGTGAGCGGGGGCGGCCCTGCGCCGGGAGGTGGGCGGGAGGCGGGAGCGGGCGGGGCCTGGCGGCGGCCCGGGGCGGGGCTGCAGCCCGCGCTCCGTTAGCAGTCCGACCGCGGTTCGGGCGGCGGGCGCGGGGCGGCTTAGGGGCCTCTGGGCGGCGAGGGGCGGGCCGGGGCCCCCCGCGCGCCCGGCGCCTGCCCCCGGGAACCTCCGGGCTCGGAAGCAGGCGGGAAGGGGAGGACGGCGAGGGGGAACGAGGCGGGGCTGCAGATGCAGCAGTGAGGCTCTGGGCTGGTACAGACGGTGCGGACACCCGGCCTGGGACCCGGAGAGGCGGGGCGGAGGGGCGGGGCGGGGCCTGCCTGGGCGGGGCGGGGGGCGGGGGGCCGGCCTGGGTGTCCGCACCGTGTTCCTGCTCTACCCCCCCCCCCCCCCCCCCCCCGTCCCCCAGAGGCGCCCCGGGGCTGGCTGGCCGCCTTTCAGGACCGCGGCGTCCTGGCTCCCCTGGCGTGGGATCTGGGGCTCCTGCTGCTGTTTGTGGGGCAGCACAGCCTCATGGCGACTGAGCCGGTGAAGGTGTGGCTGTCTCGGCACTTTGGGGTTCTGCAGAGGTCTCTGTACGTGGCCTGCACTGCGCTGGCCTTGCAGGTATGCGGCTGGAAGCTGAGTCCCTAAGGGAGAGTCTGGGAAGGAGGCCCTGGATTGGGGGTGGGCAGGGAAGTGTGGGTTAGAGAACGCAGGGTGCTCAGGACTCTGATCTCAGCTGTTCCCACAGCACACACCTTACTTTACATCCGGAAGGGTGCACTGCCCAGCCCGTTTGGCTCAGGGGGTAGAACGTCTGCCCGAGGACTGGAGGGTCAAGGGCATGTACCTCGATACAGAGTCTGGGAGGCAACCAATTGATGTTTCTCTATCGTTGTTTCTCTCTGTCTCGCCCTCCGTTCCACTCTCTAAAAATGTGCTCGTGAGGATAAACAAGAAGGTGCACCGTGTCCTCCCCCAAGCACCAGTGCCATGCGCACTGCCCCCCACAATGTCAGGCTGCCCTCGCGCTCTCCCCACCTACAGGAGCAGGCTCCAGGGTCAGTCTTTTATTTACCAAAGGCCCGCGCCTCCCTCCCCGTCTCCCGCAGCTTCGTCCAAAAGGATGTCCGGTCAAATTAGCATATTACACTTTTATTATAGGTTTTCTTTTCTTTTTTTAAAATATATTTTTATTGACTTCTTACAGAGAGCAAGGGAGAGGGATAGAGTTAGAAACATCGATGAGAGTCATCCATCAGCTGCCTCTTGCACGCCCCCTACTGGGGCCGTGCCCGCAACCAACGTACATGCCCCTGACCGGAATCGAACCTGGGACCTTTCAGTCCGCAAGCTGACGCTCTATTCACTGAGCCAAACCAGTTTCGGAAGTTTTCTTTTTATTCTTATTTATTTATTTATTTTTAAAAATACATTTTATTGATTTTTATTTTTTTTTACAGAGAGGGAGAGGGAAAGAAAGTTAGAAACATCGATGATAGAGAAACACCCATCAGCTGCCTCCTGCACACTCCCTACTGGGAATGTGCCCGCAACCAAGGTACATGCCCTTGACTGGAATTGAACCCGGGACCCTTCAGTCCGCAGGCCGATGCTCTATCTACTGAGCCAAACCGGTTTTGGCATCTTTTTATTCTTTTTAAAAATATATATATTTTATTGATTTTTTTACAGAGAGGAAGAGAACTAGAAACATCGAGAGAGAAACATCGATCAGCTGCTTCCTGCACACCCCCTACTGGGTACGTGCTGGCAACCAAGGTACATGCCCTTGACCGGACTCTCTGTCAGCAGGCTGACGCTCTATCCACTGAGCAAAACCGGTTTCGGCTAAAGGTTTTCTTTTTAATCCTCACCGGAGTATATTTTTCCACTGATTTTCAGATAAGTGGAAGAGAGAAATATCGATGTGAGAGAAACATCCATTGGTTGCCTCCTGCACTTGCCCCGACCAGGGCCTGTACCAGGGGAGGAGCCTGGAACTGAGGTACTTGCCCTCGACGGGAACTGAACCCGGGACCCTTTGGTCTGCAGGCCAAGGCTCTATCCATTGAGCCAGACCGTCTCGAGCCAGGCTTCCTAGTTAGTACTCGCTTGTCTTCTCGGGGTGCTGGCATAGGCTCACCTCATGTAAGACCTCTGGAAGATTGGGTCATCCTTATATCCTTGGAACCCACCCAGCACCTCCTCGAGCTGAGTGTTGGTGATGCTCTTGGTAAAGATGGGGAGCGAGCTGCAGGCCCCGGGTGGGACAGCCTGTCCAGGTCTCCCAGCCCCTCGTCCTCCCCAGCTGGTGATGCGATGCTGGGAGCCCGTCCCCAGAGGCCCTGTGCTGTGGGCCGCTCAGGCCGAGCCCTGGGCGACCTGGGTGCCCCTGCTGTGCTTCGTGCTGCACGCGGTGTCCTGGCTGCTCATCTTCAGCATCCTCCTCGTCTTCGACTACGCGGAGCTCATGGGCCTCAAGCAGGTGCGCTCCGTCCCTGCCGCCCGGGCTCTCCATCCTGGCCGGCCCAGGCTCCCCCTCCACGGCGGCCCCCTCCGCCGCCTTCACCCGCCTCGCCTGTGTGCCAGACTCCCCGGCTCGCCTCAGGCCAGAAACCTGGGCCCGTGGGAGGGTCCCGGCAGGGAGGTGAGGGTCAGGGCCCAAGACCTGGAAGGGGAGCCATCGTGGTGGGGCACCTGCAGGGGGGAGGGGGGCGGGTGAGAGCCTGGCTGACGGCTCCTCTCCTAGGTGTACTACCACGTGCGAGGGCTGGGCGAGCCCCTCGCCCTGAAGTCCCCCCGCGCTCTGAGGCTCTTCTCCCACCTGCGCCACCCCGTGTGCGTGGAGCTGCTGACGGTGCTGTGGGTGGTGCCCACCCTGGGCACCGACCGGCTCCTCCTCGCCCTCCTCCTCACTCTGTACCTGGGCCTGGCCCATGGACTTGACCAGCAAGACCTCTGCTACCTCCGGGCCCAGCTGCAAAGAAAACTGCACCTGCTCTCCCGGCCCCAGGAGGGCGGGCCCGAGTGAGGAGGAGCCTGGTGTCAGCCCTGCTCGCCTCTGCCCTTGGGATTCAAACTCCTGGACTCGCTCAGACCAGAGGCGCCCTCCCATGCACTCCACGCCCTCAATCCCCAGTCCATCCCACGCCCTCAGTCCCGAGTGTCAGCACTCCAGGCCCGCTCCTCGCCAGCCAGGAAGGGGGGGGCTTGCAGGTCTCACAGCTGTGGGCGTGACCCTCCTCCCCAGCCTCCTCAGGGAGAGGGTCCCGCCTGGCTACTCCCGGGCACTCGCCCTGCATCTCGGGGTCCCCTTCGTCCCCTTGCGCCCCCTCCGCCTCGCACGACCGCACCTCGAGGCCCTGGTTCCGTCCTGCAGCTGAGCCGGGCGGACTGTGCCTTCATTCGGTGACTAAGCCCGCCCTCCGAGGAGCACGCGTGGCGGGAAAATAAATCGCAGCCCTTTCTCTGCACTTGGCGCGCTGTTTGTGGGAGCCGCGGCCCAAACCGCGCCTCGCCCCGGCACCGCTGGGCGGCGGCGGCGCCCTCGGACCCGCCCCGCCTTCCGGAGGACCCGGCCCTCCTCCCCTCCCGGGCCCTGGCCGCCCTGGCCACGAGGGGCGAGCCCAGAGCTGCGCCTCCCGCCGCCCCGACCCCGGCCCGGTGCTCGGAGCAGGACAAAGGCGGGGCGGGAGGGGGAGGCGGGAGGCGGGCCGCTTCCTCCCCGTCCCCCGAGGGGCCTGAGTCACGGCGCTGGCTCCGGACCGCGGGAGCGGCTGGGGGGCCGGACGGAGGGCCGGGGCGGCGGCGGCGGCGGCGGCGGAGACCGCTCCCCGGGGTTGGCGGGAGCAGGTCCCGCCCCTCCTCGGCCCCGCCCCGCGCCCCCATCCTCTCCCCATTGTCCTCTGACGAGTGGTCGCTGGCCGTTCGCTCTGCGTCCCTCCGGCCTCCGCGCCTCCCCTCTCCTCCGGACCGGGCCGCCGACCCTCCCCTCCGGGCGCAGCGTGAGTGCAGCGAGGGGCCTCCGCGGGCGGGCGGCGTCTGCCGGTGCGATGCCCGGTCGGGGCAGAGGCGGAGCCGGTCCGCGCTCCCGGGTCCGGGCACCGCGGGGAGGGGGGGGGACGGGGGCGGGCGCCGGGTGGGAAGTCCCCGCGGTGGGAAGTCCCGGGCTCCGGGGCGGAGGCGGCGGGAGGCGCCCAGCACAGCTGCACGGGGAGCCTGGACCTCGGGCCGCGGCGGCGCCCGGCTGTGCCCGCTGGTCGCCCGGGCCCCCGGGCCCCCTGGCCCTGGCCCTCCCCGCTCTCCGCCCCTCGCCCCCTGACCTCCGCCCTCCCCGCCCCCGCCTCCAGCCTCTCCCCTCCCACCTCGCACCAACTTCTCTCCTCACGTCGCTGGCACCCTGAACCCTGAGCTGCCAAATCTGAATCTCCCCTCCGCTGCCGCGTCCCTCGCATCTGCTGGCCTTTCCTTCACCTCCTGGTCTCCGTCCCCTGCCTCAGTGCCGGCTCTCCCGCCCGCCGTCCAGGCTCACCCGCCTCAGCAGCCTCTCCCTGCCTCTGCCTCCAGTGCCCCTCACCTGCACCTCGGGCCATGGCCACCATCCCGGACTGGAAGCTCCAGCTGCTGGCCCGGCGCCGGCAGGAGGAGGCGGCCGCGCGGGGCCGCGAGAAGGCGGAGCGGGAGCGCCTGTCCCAGATGCCAGCTTGGAAGCGGGGGCTCCTGGAGCGCCGCCGGGCCAAGCTGGGTCTGTGCCCCGGGGAGCCCAGCGCTGCGTCCGGGCCTCCAGAGGCCGGGCCTCCAGACCCAGACCAGTCTGCGGTCCTGCGGGAGGCCATCGGCCCGGTGCACCAGAACCGATTCATCCGGCAGGAGCGCCAGCAGCAGCAGCAGCAGCGGCGGAGTGACGAGCTGCCGGCGGAAAGGAGGCTGGGGCCTTCGGAGGCCCGGGAGTGGAGGCCCAGCCCTGGGGAGATGCAGGAGCTCGGCCCCGGGGAGAGGGCGTCCGGGGAAGAGCGGCTCAGCCCCCGGGAAGCCGGCGACGGGAGGCCGGGGACAGGGGGAGCCCGAGAGCCAAGCCCCAAGCCTGCGGGGCACCCGGGCCGGCCGCGCCAGGGCGAGGCTGGGGACCGGGCCTCGGGGCTGCCGGAGGCGCGGCGCTGGCGGCCGAGCCCGGGCGAAGCGGACCCGGCGGAGCCTCGAGAACAAAGCCCCGGGAGCGGGAGCGAGGCTGCGGCCCCGCCATGGAGGCCTGGCTGCGCGGAGGCCCTGGAGCTGAGTGCGAGGCCGCTGGAGCCGTCGGAGCGGAGCCTGAGCCCCGGAGGAGGGACGGGCAGCTCCGCGGACAGGGGGCGCCCCGAGGACGCGCGGGCTCCCCGGCCGGCCCCGCAGGAGCCCCCAGGGCCGCCCGGGGCCCTGACGCGCGAGGCTGCGGGCGGCCCTGACGGCGGGCAGCCCGCCGAGCGGAGCCCCAGCCCCGCCGAGGCTGCGGAGGGGGACCCCGGGCCGGCCGAAGGGTGGAAATGGACCCTGCACTCTGGGAGGGCTCGAGAACGGACAGCCAGGGACGCGGAGCCCGCCCCTCGGAAGCCAGCCCCTGCGGAGCCCGCCGGCCAGCTCCCCGGGCCTCCCGGGGTGGAGGCTGCGGAGGAGGCGGGGGCTCCGGGGCCGCTGCGGAGCCGCTGCGCCGGGCCCTGCCCCCTCCCGCCCCGGGACGCGGGGCAGCAGGAAGAGGAAGCCGAGGTGCCGCGGCCCCGGCCCGCGCCCGCGCCTCTGTCTCCCCCGCCGCCGGCCCCCCAGCCCCCCGGGGACTCCCTCATGAGCCGGCTGTTCTATGGGGTGAAGGCAGGGCCGGGGCTGGGGGCGCCCCGCCGCAGCGGACACACCTTCACCGTCAACCCCAGGCGGTCTGCGCCGCACGCGGCCCCGGCCGCTCCCGCCCCCGCCGACGCGGCCCCGGCGGCCGGGAAGAAGCGGTACCCCACCGCCGAGGAGATCGCGGTCCTGGGGGGCTACCTCCGCCTCAGCCGCAGCTGCCTGGTGAAGGGGTCCCCGGAAAGGCACCACAAACAGGTAGGGAGCAGCACGCAGGCTTCCACGCCGCCCCGCTCTGGCTGTCTCGGGCCCCTGCCTCCTGGGCCTTTGCGGTGGCAGCCTCCGCCCCTCCGCACACAGCCCTGGTCCGGCCGCCCTGGGTGTCTGCCCACGGCCACGCTGTCCCTGGGGCGTCTCAAGGTGTGCCCCGGCTGCTCCCTCGGGCTCTGAGGCCCCCGTTTCTTTCTTTCCTTTCCTCTGAGTCTGAGCCAGCCAGCCCCTCTGGTGGGAGACAGGCCAGCAACCTTGATTGTGTCAAGCAGGGTCACAGGATGAGGAGCCCTCGCCGGGGAGAAGTGGGGCGGGGGGGTGGCTTTGGGGTTCTAGGGAGAAATGAAGGAGGGGAGGGAGGCCGGAGAGTCCCAAGGAAGAGAGCGCGCTGGAGGGCGCGGCCTGGGCTGGGGGCAGTGGGGCTGGCACAGGAGTCTGCCCCTGGGAGACGCACACTGAGGCCTTCAGAGTGGGTGACCTCAGGCTGCACCCAGCTGGGCCACAGCCCGCCCCTCCCTCCCTCTCTCCTCTGCCAAAGACCTCTCAGCCTCCCTGCCTTCACCTTCCTCCCGGCCTTGCCCCCCTCTCAGGAATGGCTCACACTGGGGTTCCCCTCTCCCTGGCCTCTCCCTCCCCTTGGGGTGGAAAAAGAGAAGTGAACTTGGAGGCAGTGCTGAGAGCAGGGAGTCCCACGGGAGTTGAGGACAGGGGTGGGGCCAAGGCCAGCGGAGGGTCAGAGGTTAGACTGGAATCGGGGGTGCAGGAAAGTGGGAGAAGCAGGCTGAGGGCTCCCCTGGCCTGGCCCTGGTCCAACCCCTTCCGCAGTCCCTTCCAGCTCATACATGTTCCCGAGACGGAAGCCCTTCCTGGCGTCTAGTCCTCATCCCACATGGGCCGTCCTCAGGGACCACAGGCCAGATGCAGCTTGGGGTGCTCTGTCCCCCGTCACCATCGCAAGGAGCCTAAGCGCCCACCCGAGCCTGAGCCTGCAGCGAGGGGTCAGGAAGGCAAGGCCAGTGTTCAGAAAAGTCACTTCCTGCGGAGTTAGCTGGCTTTGCTTTGGGGTGGAAAGAGCAGAGGGATCGTGAAGTTTGAACCCAAAGTCCAGGGCCATCGGGTGCAGGGCAGGACCTGTGGTGGTGACCATACCTGGGTCAGGGATCTGGGGAGCCGGAAGCAGATCGCCCAAACAGGAAGCCTGGGGTGGGGGCCGGAAGGCGGTGGGCGAGTGGGGACCGGACCTGCCTGCCAGCACGCTCAGGATGTGGTGAGAGGAGGAAGCAGAGCTGCTGGGGGTGGGGCGGAGCAGGCTCTGGGCCCACATGCCCTTCGCTCTGTCAGGCTGCTGGGGGCTCGGTGCCCTGATCCAGCTCTGCCCCTAGCTCAGGGATGGAGCACCGCCTCTGCCTGCCCCCCCCCAGGTAACATCTGTGGGCTAATTCCATCAGCCTATTCTTGCCCCCGGGCCCAGAGCCCCTCCCTCCAGCCCCTCGGGACCTTATATAGCTGGTGAGCCAGTGAGTCACCCCGCGCCCCCTCCCGCAGGCTGTGCATTCCTGGGAAGTCAGTCAGATGCTGGGGTTGGGGGAGGGAAGCAGCGTGTGGGGAGAGTCCGACATGGACTGAAAGCAAAGGGAACGGGTCCTTCTCAGCTGCTTAATAAACGGCAGAGCTTGTTTTCCCGAAAGGGGAAATGAAAAAAGAGAAATGGGTTCCCCAGTGTGGGTACATCTGTCAGCAACAGAGCAGAGATGCCCCTTTAAGAAGTCTGGATGGAAGGGGTCTGGTTGCTGTCACCAATTCTGTCAGCCATTCCACAGGCTGGGCTCCCCCGGCCTTGGTCCTCTGCCGGGACCTCCTCGGGTCTGCGTGGCCCCTCAGAGCTTTTCCCAGCAAAGCACCTCCCGTTCTCCTGTTGACAAAACCAGGTGGTGGAAGCTACAGGGCCAGGAGGAGCGGGGCTGGATGGGGCTGGGCGTGACTGTCGTGGTGGTTGGGGGCAGGGGAGCACTGGGTATGTTTGGGGAGGGGTGTTCCAGGCAGGGGTGGGGGAGACAGCCAGTGCCAAGGCCTGTGTGCGGGAGGGAGGATGCCCAAGAGGTGAGGGCGTGGCCTGGGCAGCATCCTCCAGTGCTTCCCAAAGTGTGGTCCTCGTCCCCCCAGGGGTCAGGAAGAGTCTGGTGGGGTACGCGTTGCACCGGAGTTTGGTGGGGATATGCACTGCACCGTGCTTACCTCGCCTAATTCTACGTTCTCATGAGTACGAGGGGTACTCAGCGTTATGAAAATTATAGAAGGGGTGCCCGAATGTCAGAAGTTTGGGGAACACTGCTAGACTTTGGTCAGGCTCTGGCTTTTGTCCCCAGTGAGATGGGGAGCCACTGCAAGAGTGACTGTCCCTGAGTTTCAGGCTGTTAGCAACTTCCTGTCCAGCACCTCCAGGCTCCTCTGCTTGCAGCCATCTGCAGAGGCGGGGATGGGGGGACGGCCGTGTCTCACCACGGGGGCTGGAAGGCCTGACAGGTGTGGCCCTTTCGAAGCAGTTCGCAGGGATCCTGGTTTTCCGCTCCGAGTGAATCCCTCGCTGCCCCTCTCCCCTGAGCTTCTGAGGGGCCGGGCTGCGGGGGGAGAGGCTGGGGGAACAGCTGGGCTATTCTGGAGTCTCCCTGCGTCTCCGACTGGGTTCTGTCCGGTCCGCTGGCCTGGTGCTCTCCACCCCCCTGGTTTGCCTGGACTTTCCTCTGGGGTCCCCTTCCGGCTGCACCTTTGGGGACTCGGTCTTGTCTTCCCCTGTGCTGCGGAGTCTGCCTGGTTTGTTCCCCGGACCCGCCCCCCCCCCAGCCGCTCAAGTCTGACAGAGGACTTCCTTCCACGTGTTACCGTGTACTTACCCTCTGCCCGCCGCTGCAGAGCGGGGACCTGGGCCCTCCCCTCTGCCCTGCCGCACTCAGTCTCCTGGTTTTGAAACTGACGGAGGAAAACGTCCCAGATGCGGGGGGAGGGCAAAGGCGGCGGGCGCCCAGTCCAGCCCCTCGCCCACCTTGCCCGGCGCTGACCTGCATCCTTCGCCTCCTCCCCCTCCCCCCTCAGCTCAAGATCTCCTTCAGCGAGACGGCCCTGGAGACCACGTACCAGTACCCCTCCGAGAGCTCGGTGCTGCGGGAGCTGGGCCCCGAGCCCGAGGCCCCCAGCGCTCCCAGCGCCCCCGCGCCCCAGCCCGACGACGACGATGACGAGGAGGAGGAGCTGCAGGCGGAGCCCCCGGGCGGGCTGCGCTCCAAGGCGCTGCTAGTGGGTGAGTGCGGCGCCGCCTGGCGTCCAGAGCGGGCACTGCGGTCCCGGAGGAAGAGGGGCTGCGGGGTGGGCCCGGGTTGGTCAGCAGCTCAGAACCAGGTTTCCTGAGCCCCGGTGTGGGTGACAGCACCGGGTGGGCAGTCAGGCCTGAGTTTGAATTTTATATTCTCTTATGGTTGTGGCCTCAGGGAAATAATGGCTGATTGGCCTCAATTTATTATTTTAATTTTTAATTTTTTTTTTTTTTTTATTTCAGAGAGGAAGGGAAAGGGAGAGAGACATACAAACATCAATGACAGTCATTGATCGAACCCTCAACCCAGGCATGTGCCCTTGAACAGAATCAAACCCAGGACCCTTCAGTCCATAGGCCGACTGTTTATCCACTGAGCCAAACCAGCAAGGACAATTTTTTAGTATTTTATTTTAGAGAGAGTGGAAGGGAAAGAGAATGAGAGAGTGATGTGAGAGAGACACATTGATTGGTTGCTTCCAACACGTGCCCTGACTACAATCAGGGATTGAGCCTGCAACACAGGTACATATCCTTAACCAGAATTGAACCCAAGACCGTTCAATTTGTAGGCCGACACTCTAGCAGGCGTCTTCAAACTACGGCCCGCGGGCCACATGCGGCCCGCAGAGGAGTCTGATCCGGCCCGCCAGGTTTTTTGGGCAGTGAGCGCAGCCGAGGTGTTACAGTAGGAATTAGTAGTTCATATAGTCCGGCCCTCCAGCTCTCTGAGGGACCGTGATCTGGCCCCCACTTTAAAAAGTTTGAGGACCCCTCCACTGAGCACACTGGCCAGAGCTCAATTTATTATTAAGATGGTGTTAAAAATGACTGTCTCCTGGAGTTGCTGAGAGGGTTAAGTAATTTTTATGAAGTTTCCTGGTAGTAAGAAGCACTCAAAATGTGGACAATATCAGACACTGCCTGGTGCCGTTGGCCCCGCAGGCGGGGGAGATGGGGGAGGCCCGAGGCGGAGGCTGGCACTCATTCAGGTTATCGCCTCCTCTCCCACAGACGAGTCCTGCCGGCGGTGGCCCTCTTCCAGCACAGGGACACACCTTCCTCCTTCCCAGAACTGAAGATCCTGGACCCCAGACGATTCAGAACAGATGCCCCTGAAAATGAGCCTGGCAGGGAAGGACAGCCAACGTCCTCCAGCCAGCTCTCCTCACCCTGTTTCTGAGGACAGAGCCCGAATGCCACTCACCCAAAGTCCCCAGTGAGTGTCACATGTGGGCATACTCCCTCGGTGACCCCAGTGCCCAGGCGGAGCTCACAGGATGGTGGGGAGGAGAGCCCTCCAGCTCCGTGGGCACCGTACTCCGCCCTACGGCCCAGTCCTTACAGGCTCCTTTATCCTGTTCCTTAGGCACTGCTCTTCGTTTGCAGCTCCTGCTTCCTCTCTCTTTTTAAAAATATTTTTTTATTGATTTCAGAGGGAGAGAGATAGAAACATCAAGGATGAGAGAGAACCATCAATTGGTTGCCTCCTGCATGCCCCCACTGGGGATCAAGCCTGCAACCAGGGCCTGTGCCCTGACTGGGAATCGAACCATGACCTCCTGGTTCATAGGTTGATGCTCAACCACTGAGCCACACTAGCTGGGCTCTTGCCTCCTCTCTTGACCATAACCTGGTTTACAAATCCCCCAGTTCCCCTCCCACAAGGTCCCAGGTTTACAAGCCACACCCATTTCCCACGTCCTGTGGCCCTCTTCCGTGGCCCCGAAGTCACCTCGTTGGGAATGACCCGGGGTGTGGCTTCCTCCACGTTTGCTCAGTATTACTCGGCCTTCGTTTCCCAGAGGGAAGCTGGGAACCTTAGCTCAGTGCCCCATCTGGTTATTTAATTCTGTCCTCCTCATGGCGCACAAGTGAATTGAATTGCAAGGGTTTGGTGTGACTAAGGAAGCACCTCAATTCTCCCCCGCTACTCCTTCCTTACCAACTGCCTGTTTGTTTTTAAAAAGACAAAAACAATTTTTCATAATAAAGTGGAGTTCTTTCCAACTCTCTTGTTGCTTCTCCTTCTTTAGGAAAAAAAAGTGTATGTGGTGGTTCTGGCTCTTCCAAGCCTCTGCCATCTTCCCACGGGCCAAGGACAGGAAGTGGGGTGCTGTGGCTGTGGGCGGCTGGGGAGCCCCAGGGGCTTCTCAGGCTGGTCTGAGGAAGGTCAGTTGAAGTGTCTGCCAGACGCGGCCAGTGCAATGAGGGCAGACTACCCTGTTAGGTTCAACCCCACGCCTGGCACCTCACAGACAAAAAGTTATTTCTAGAAGGAAGGATTCCGTAAACAAATCAGAAGATGAGAAGAGCTAAGGTACTGGAGGGTCCAGCATCCAGAGGCCAACGGCAACTCGAGGGCGGGCCGTGTGCCCCTGCCAACCCTGAGGCCTTCCTCGTCCTGCAGGCTCAGGGCCAGCGGTGTCCGGCCACCCTGGCCGGTGGCTCGTTGGCGCTCCATCCCGAGCACCTGGGGGCTCTGGTTAGATCCCCCGTCGGTATGTCTGGGAGGCAACTGGTAGGTGTTTCTCACATCGGTTTTTCTCTTTCTCCCCCTTCTTTCCTCTCTAAAATCAATAACATGTCCACAGGTGAGGATTTTAAAAAAATCCATTGCTATTTTATGGCTTTGCCGCCCAAGTATGTACTGGGAGGCTTTCCCATTTCAAAGAACTCTATCTTCCACAAATGTGGGCGGTTACACTTCACTTACAGGGTCAGTGCTTTAGTTCTCGGGTCAGAAAGACATGCTTAGTAGGTATGGTTCTGTCCATAGAGGGTGCTTCTCTCAGTCCAGTCAGAGGGACTCCCCTAAAAATAGGATTTATTAGACAAATTGATCTAAACACTCCACCAGCCTTTAATTTACCAGCAGTGGGACAAAGTGTCAAAAGAATTAGCCAGTTCAGAGAGGCTGTGGGTACGGAGGGTAACAGAATCCTTAAGTTACTAGCTCATTAGGTAAAGATCCTAATCTGTTTTAACCCAAGAAAGTAGAGGCATGCTGAAATCGGTGTGGCTCAGTAGACAGAGCGTCGGCCTGCGGACTAAAAGGTCCCAGGTTCGATTCCCGTCAGGGACATGTGCCTTGGTTTCCGGCACATCCCCTTTCTCTCTGTAAAAAACAAATATTAAAAAAGAAAGAAAGTAGAAGCAGGAGGCCGAGAGATGCCAGGGTGCCCACAGTCCACCTCAGAAATAAAAAATAATGCAACCAAAAACAATGCATCCAAGTAGTCAATGATATGGAATTACCAGTGGCTATTAATTGGAATAACAATGTTTCATTTCTCAACAGTAGTGTCTGATAAGTCCAATTAATCAAAGTATGAAGCAGTGTCAAACAGAGGTCAGACAGCAGAGTCAACTAACCAGGTCTGCTCACTGGTAAATATGCAGCCGCCAGTGCACTTCTCAAGCTGCTAGCACACATGCAGAGCACAGCTCGGCCATGCCTTATTCGGAGGTCTTTTATTTTTACTGACTTCAGAGAGGAAGAGAGAGGGGGAAAAATCGATGATGAGAGGAATCATTGGTTGACTGCCTCCTGCAGGCCCCACTACTGGAGGTCAAGCCCACAACTGGGAATCGAATCCTGACCTCCTGGTTCACAGGCTGACACTCAGCCAGACTAGTTCGGAGGCTTTTAAAAGTGCTCCCAGAGACAGCGGCAAGAAAAGCAAAGCACCGTTCCCCCTGGGCCCAGCTTCCTTCTGGCCCGGAGGTCCCGCTCAGGCCTCACTGCTGCTGCAGACAGGGGTACGAGCAAGCTCACTTCTAATCAGTATGGGCTGATTTGAAATGGAATCCCAAATACACCTTGCATTTTCTTTGGGGGAGGGAGGGGCTCCACAGAACTTACAGGCTTTATTTATTATGTATTTTATCTTCCTCGCAAATGTAAATTCGGTAAGGTATTTTGGCCTGACTAGTTCTTTGCTGTATCCCCAGCGACTAAAATTGTGTCCAGCACCTTAGGCGTCCGCGTTTGTTGAATGAACGGGTGAGTGGAGCATCCGCGGGCTGACCATCTGGGGGCGACAGAGACTCTGTGGGGCGGGAAAGGAGGATTCACGCGAACTACCGTACGTTCCGCGAGACTTGGACTCTATCGGCCACCGTCGCGCTCAGACCGGAAAAGCACTGCCGGAAGCTCCACGGTCCGGGAAGGCGGCTCTGGGCTGTTGGAAACCGAAGCCTCGGGGCCTCTGGCGGTCCCTGCGCGGCCGCTGGCCCCCTCCGGCCTCCAGGCCTCCGACCGCCCGGCGCCGCGCGGCTCCTGGGCCCGGCCCGGCCCCAGGCCTCCGACCGCCCGGCGCCGCGCGGCCGGGAGCGGTCGCCATGGCGACGCCGGCGGCGCTGGAGCGCTGGGTGCAGGACGAGCTGCACGCGGTGCTGGGGCTGAGCGAGCGGCACGTGGCGCAGTTCCTGATCGGCACCGCGCGGCGCTGCGGCTCGGCCGAGGAGTTCCTGCAGCGCCTGCGAGACACCGACACGCTGGACCTCGGCGGGCCTGCGCGGGACTTCGCGCTGAGGCTCTGGAGCAAGGTGTGGCCGCGCGGCGGGCGGGGCCGGCTAACTGGCGGTGTGGCCGCGAATTAACGAGCTCAGTTCGCAGTCGCTGGTCTGTCCGCGGCCGCCCGGGCTGTGCTGGGTACTGCACGTCCTGCTCCGTGAAGATCAGGAAGGTCAAGTGTGTGGGTTAAGTCTTGCATGGCAGTGCTTCTCGAACGTGAACTTGCATGCATCCATCCAGCCCCAGTTAAAATGTAGATTCCGATTCCGGAGGTCTGGGTTGGGGTCTCCATTTCCGCATTTCTGACACATCTAACAAGTGTCCCCGAGGCCGCGGAGACAGGTGCGGGCAGTGCTGTGGAGCAGTGGCCAGGCGAAGCGGGGCCAGAGTCCCTGCAGTTGTCGGGTAGAGAAGGGGGAAGGAGTAAAGGTATGAAAGGCGAGCCCTGCTAGCCCTGGCCGGCTGGCTGGAGCACCGTCCCCATACACCAAGCTTGTTGGTTCCATCTCCAGTCAGGGCACGTACAAGAGCCAACCAATGATGCATAAATAAGTGGAACAACAAATCGGTGTTAGAGTCTAATCAATCAATAAAAAAATAAAACAAAAGCCCTGGCTGGTGGCTCAGTAGATAGAGGTTTGGCCTCTGCACCAGAGGGTCTCGGATTCAATTCCCAGTCAAGGGGGTGAATCTGGATTGCAGGTTCCATCCCAGGTTGGAGCCCCGTGCAGGAGGCAACCAATCAATATTTCTCTCTCAAATCAAAGTTTTTCTCTGTCCCCCTCTCCCTCCCTTGCACTCTCTAAATGGAAAAAAAAATCTTTGGGTGCGGATTAACAAAAAAGATCAATAAAATAAAAGGCACTCCTACCTCCTAGTGAAGCACCTCACAGAACAGGGCTCGGAAAGCGCACAGTGAGACTGCAAGGGTCAGCGTGTGCGGACAGGGCCAGGGGCCTGTGGCTGTCCCACTGGTGCTCGGCGAGAGGTGAGGCTGGAGAGTGACAGGCGTCAGGCCGCTCACCAGTGCGCCTGGAGCTGAGGGCCAGCCTGTCTCAGGCTCTGCATGGCAGGTCTTGTCCGGTCGGTCCTCAGGCATCACAGGCTGAGCGATTGAGAACTGGCACAGGTGGTTTTCTCCCTCGTTTACTCCTATCCCCGTGCCCGGAACAGCTTCAGTAAATGCTCGTTGCACACGGGCTGCTGAAGGAGAGGAGCAGCTGAGGCTGATGAACGCGAGTGGAGGAAGGCCTTTCCTACGGCAGGACCAGGGCTGCTCACCCTCGGCTCTTCTGCGACAGGTCCCCCGGGAGGCGGCGGTGGAAAAGCCGGGCCGGGCCGCCGAGCGGGAGGCCCGCGCCCTGCTGGAGAAGAACCGATCCTACCAGCTGCTGGAAGACAGTGAGGGCAGCGGTGCGGAGAGTGTGGGTGCGGCTGGGGCCGGGCTCCAGAAGAAGCGGAAGCGGCGGAAACACCTCCGGAAGAAGCGCCAGGAGGAGGAGGAAGAGGGGGAGGAAGAGGATTCTGAGAAAGGGAAGAAGACAGGGTGAGTCAGAAGGAGGATGGGAGAGGATGGGCAGGGAGGATAGTGCCCTCTGTAACCTCTGGGCCCGGCTGCAGGCGGAGCCGACAGCAGGCAGAGAGACAGCAGCCAGAGAAGCCGGAGTCGGAGGATGAGTGGGAGCGGACGGAGCGGGAGCGCCTCCAGGACCTGGAGGAGAGGGATGCCTTTGCTGAGCGGGTGCGGCAGCGGGACAAGGACCGGACCCGTAACGTCCTGGAGCGGTCCGACAAGAAGGTGCGGGGGGCAGACCGAGGGTGGCGAGGTAGGGATCGCTGGGAAGACAAGAGGGGCCTGTAGTGGGGTGCTCCCTCTGGAGGAACCTCCTGGTCTGTCTGGCTGACACTGGTGGTCGATTCCTCAGTGAGCAGGACATTTCCCTGTGCTGGAGCTTGTCCTTGTGATTCCGAGGGAGGAATGGCCGTGGCCGTGGCCGTGGCCGTGGCCGCGCCGTGGCTATGGGGACTTTGAGCCTCACACCCTTCACTCTGGTTTCTCCTAGGCTTATGAAGAGGCTCAGAAGCGCCTCAAGATGGCTGAGGAAGACCGGAAGGCCATGGTGAGTCCAGTGCCCAGGAAGCCACAGAGGCAGGGCAGTGGGAATGCCTGCTGAGGGTGGGCTTAGTTGTAGAGGGAAGGAAGCTGCCCAGAAACCCTCCCTGCCTCCTTTGGACCAGATCACACCATGTTAATGAGAAACATGTGGCTTCCCACGGAATCAAGAGGCAGCTGGAAGGTAGGGGCAGGCCCGCCATCCCGCCCAGAGATGTGCTGACCATTGAGCACACCATGTCTAGCACTTCCTCCCCCGAGGCTGGGCCTCCCGCTGCTCTCCTGTTGGTCTGCTCCCTGCCTGGGGCAGAGTGTTGGTGGTTGGTTGGTTGGTTGGTTGGTTGATGAGCTGGACTTGTTCTAGGGGAGACAGTTTTTCTAAAGGCCTGGTCTTCCCAAGTGAAGCTACACTTAGATTTCCCCAAAGTGACTGGGTGTCGAAGAGCCTGGCAGCCTCAGGCCTCTCCTGGCCGTCCCTGTCGTGTCTCCTCACTAAGGACTCAGGCGTCTCTCAGTGTTTTTATTTGCCTGAATTTGTTTAGTGTTTAGTGTTTTGTTTTTTCAATTGTGAAAACTTTTGAACAAATAGGAAAGTTGAATGAATAGTATAATGGACAGTCATACAGATTATTTGGGTTCAAAAATTGCAATGTCTGTGTAAACGTGGCCTTTTTTTCTTTTTGAATCATTTAAAATCATTTACTGGCCAGTGTATCTCAAAGGTTGAGTGTCAAGCCAGGAACCAAGAGGTCATGGGTTCAATTCCCTGTCAGGGCACATGCTTAGGTTGCGGGCTCAGTCCCCTGTTGGGGGCATGTAGGAGGCAGCCGATTGATGATTCTCTCTCCTCGATGTTTCTATTTTTCTGTTCCTCTTCTATCCCCCTCTCTCACAAAATCAGAACATATATTTTTAAACAATAAAAGCGTTTAAGACATCAGCACTTTTTCCCATCGTCATGTGCCTCTTAGGAATTCAGGTGTTCTCCCTGGAGTGGGTGCCGTTGCCCCCGAGAAGGTGAACAGCGCTTCTCATTGTCATCCAAGAACCTCTGCAGAGTCCCCTGCTTACCCCAAATGTCTTTATAAAAGTGTCTGATTTGTATGTGCTGGTTTCAGAGAGCTCTGACCTGTTGTCCTCTCACGCGTGTGCCTTGACTGGGGATCGAACCCACCCCGGTGTGTCCGGATGTCGCTCTGACTAACAGCTACCCCACCAGAGCTGAAACGGCTTGAACCGCCGCTGTTTCTAAACCGGAACCCAGTGAGGGCATGGTGGCATGTGGTGGTTAGGCCTCTGAGGGTTGGTTCGTTTCCTCTGTCTCCCCTTGTGCCATGTGCTGTGATCTGGGTCATCTCCTCCTCTGTGGAGTTCAGCTCTGTGTGCCCTGCGCCTTCTGTAAGTGGAAGTTTGGTGTAAAGTGTGCCCAGACTTGGAGGTGAGCAGTGGCAGCAGCACCTGCGGCCCTGCCCTTGCCAGCCTCACCCTGCTCGCGGTGCCATCCTTTCTCAGCAGTGTTCCTCTCACGGCCCAGCCCATTCTGAGCCTTTCCGGAATCAGTGATTTCATGGGGTTTGCAATGCTGATCTTGGGATCTCCCCCCACACACACACACACTTTTTAATTTTTAAATTTTATTATTTTTTAAAAATAAATCTTTATTGTTCATATTATTACAAATGTTCCTCATTTTCCCCCTCCCCTCCATTGCTCCCCTCCACCAGGTTCCCATCCCACCGTCTGCACTTTCCCCACCCCCCATTGTCCTCATCCATAGGTGCACAGTTTATGTCTAGTCTCTTCCCGCACCCCCCACTCCCCTTTTCCCCGAGAATCATCAGTTCACTCCCCTTCCATACCTCTGATTCTATTATATTCAACAGTTAATATTGTTCATCAGGTTTTTTAATTCCCTTGGTTTTTAGATTCACTTGTTGATAGTTACGTATTTGTTGTTCCATAGTTTTTATCTTTATTTACTTTCTCTTCTGAAAGAACCCCCTTCAGCAATTCATATAATTCTGTTTGGTGGTGATGAACTCCTTTAGCTTTTTTTTTAATTAGTGAAGCTCTTTATCTGGCCTTCGATTCTGAGTGATAGCTTTGCTGGATAGATTATCTTTGGCTGTAGGCTCTTGCTATTCATCACCTTGAATATTTCTTGCCATTCCCATCTGGCCTGCATGGTTTCTGTTGAGAAATCAGCTGACAATAGTATGTGTGCTCTTTTATAGGTAACTACCTGCTTTTCTCTTGCTGCTTTTAATATTCTCTCTTTGTCTTTTGCTCTTGGAATTTTAATTATGATGAGTCTTGGTGTAGTCCTCTTTGGATTCCTTTTGTTTGGAGTTCTGTGCTCTTCCTGGACTTTTAAGTTTAATTCTTTCACCAGGTGGGGGAAGTTTTCTGTCACAATTTCTTTCAGTATGTTTTCTATATCTTGTTCTCTCTCTTCTTCTGGGACCCCCATAATTCTGATGTTGGTTCACTTGAAGTCCCAGAGGTTTCTTACATTATCTTCAACTTTCTGGATTCTCTTGTCTTCTTGCTTCTGCGGAGGAGTGTCTTCTGGCTCTTTATGTTCCAAATCTTTGACTTGATTCTTGCAATCTTCCATTCTGTTTTTAGGACTCTATATAATATTTTTTTTATTTCAGACAATGTATTCTTTATTTCTTGTTGATCCCTTATTAGTTCTTGTTGATCCCTTTTCATATCCTAATAGGTCTTATCGACCTTTTCTGGGAAATTCTTGAAAAACTTTATAAGCGTGGTTTTGAACTCTATATCCAGTCGCTTCTTGTCCTCCATTTCTTTTGTTTGTGATCTGTTTCCTTGTATTGGCATTGGCATTTTCACAGCTTCCCTGAGTTGGTAGGGCGGCTTTGTGTGCTACGGTGTCCTATATGGTTCAGTGAGTCAGCCTCCCAGTTACCTGAGGTGGACAGTCTTGGTGTAGCCCTTTGTGGGCTGTGTGTACAATCTTGTTGTTAAGCCTTGCTTGTTGTTGGTATCACTGGGAAGCGTTGATCTCCATGCCAATTGGCTATGAGGATCAGAAGTATCTCAGCTAGGAGGGTTTCTGTATTCTGCTTGAATGGGGCGGAGTCTTGGGGTTGCACAGACAAGCTTTGTTGAATCCCACACAATTGGTTGCAGACGTGCACCTCTTTGGTATAGGTGCAGACAAGCTTAGATTCCTGTCTGTCACTCCCTAGGAGAGTCCCATTCGCCAGCTAGCCACTGGAAGGACTTCTGTGCTCCGCTTGGGTGGGACGGAATCTCCAATGGTGCAGACAAGCTTTATTCAGCCCCTCCTTACGAGGGCCTGGTTTCTGAGTCCCGCAGTAATGGCCGCTGGCTTCACACACCTCCGAGAGATCCCCGCCCACTGCCTGACAGTCTGGCCTCTCCCTGTATGGGGCCGTCTATCAGCGCAATAGGGTGGTTCTGTTTTCCTCCCGAACAAGAAAGCCAGCCACGCCTTAGCTGTCGCCCTCTCTGTGCGCAGGGAGTGAGCCGGCAGCGAACTCGGCCCGCCCTCTCGGTGCTCCGCAAGCAAGCTGGCAGTAAACTGCGGCCGCCTTTTCGCGCGCACAGTTATCCGCACCTTCACAGTTCCTGAGGGTCAGCGTGCCTTCTCTCTCCTTCCCAGATGGTACAGCGTCCTCTCAGCCAGCCGTCCGGTGCTTCAGGGTGATGTTTCCCCTGTTTTTCAGTTCTAAATTCAAATTTGTTGTGGTAGGCTGCATTCGGGTGTCTGCCCTATGCCGCCATCTTGGTTTCTTGATCTTGGAGTCCTTTTTATATAAAGAAGAGCTTTTTCTCAACAACTAGACGTGAGCTGCAGTTCCTTTTTAGAGTGTTTCCTTTTAACTACTAATGTTCAAACTAGGAAGTTAGGTGTGATGGCCTAAACTCTCTGGTGACTGTTTTTCTGTCCTTTGTGTGTATGAATGTGTGTTACACTGTACTCATGAGTTTCTTCTCTCTATATATGTGTTTATTGAATTCAGAGAGGACAGGAGAGGGAGAGAGAGATAGAAACATCAATGGTGAGAGAGAATCATTGATGGGCTGCCTCCTGCATACCCCACACAGAATAGAGCACACAACATGGGCATGTGCCCTGACCAGAATTGAACTGTTACATCCTGGTTCTTAGGTCCACACTCAACCATACATCTGCCTCCATCAGGATTAAGTCATCAGCATAAACTCCCTTTGAAGTATTCACAGAACAAATAAGGAAAGCCAAGCAATTAAATAGAATTGGATGCCCTAACCAGTTTGGCTTAGTGGATAGAGCGTCTGCATGCGGACTTGAGGGTCCCAGGTTCGATCCCAGTCAAGGGCATGTACCTTGGTTGTGGGCATATCCCCAGTAGGGGGTATACAAGAGGCAGCTGGTCGATATTTCTCTCATCGACGTTTCTAACTCTATCCCTCTCAATTCCTCTCCATGTAAAATCAATAAAATATATTTATATTAAAAAATATATATACACACACACATATATAAATAGAATCAGAGCCCCCAGGCTGCCACTGCGCGGAGGAGGTGGTCTGGGCCGCAGGAAGGCTGAAGGAGGTGGCCAGCCTTCTGTCTCCTTCAGTGTGTCCTGAAAGCGTGTGTCTGAGGAAAATGTAGAAGCCCGGTGACAGGTGTGCAGGATTGTCCCCAGGGCGCCCTGGTGCGGCCTCCGCCTGCTGTGTTTCCGCCCCCGGGGCACCAGCCGGGCCGGCCCTGTGGCACGCAGGGGGCCTGTCTCCGCTGTCAGGTGGAGCTGCTTCCCAGAGCTGGTGTCGGCCCTCTGCTCCCCTCTTCACGGCTCGGATCGGAACCAGGGGAGCAGACTAGCATTCGTTCTCATAACCGCGATGCCTTCGTAGTGGCCATGGCTGCCGGGGCGCTGCGCTCGCAGTGCTCACGAAGGGAGCTCACCTTCAGGCGCTCTCGTCCTGTGTGTGGTAGCAAGGGGGCGGGCTGCCGTGCGCAGAAGGAGCCTTGACCGCCCTGTGCTGCTGGCCCAGGTGCCCGAGCTGCGGAAGAAGTCCCGCCGCGAGTACCTGGCCAAGCGGGAGCGAGAGAAGCTGGAGGACCTGGAGGCCGAGCTGGCGGACGAGGAGTTCCTCTTTGGGGACGTGGAGCTGAGCCAGCACGAGCAGCGGGAGCTCAAGTACAAGCGGCGAGTGCGGGACCTGGCCCGGGAGTACCGGGCGGCCGGCGAGCAGGAGAAGCTGGAGGCCACCAATCGCTACCACATGCCCGAGGAGACCCGCGGACAGGTGAGGCGGAGGCAGGGCGGGGCGCTGCCTCAGCGTCTCCCTTCCCAGCAGGCCCGGTGGGGACCGGAGCAGGGAGCTGGGGGAGGACAGGCCTGTTCGCCGCCCACTGTGCCCGCCTGCTCACCGCCCGCTGTGCCCGCCTGCAGCCATCGAGAGCTGTGGATCTGGTGGAGGAGGAATCGGGTGCCCCCGGGGAGGAGCAGCGGCGCTGGGAGGAGGCCCGGCTGGGGGCCGCCGCCCTGAAATTTGGCGCCCGAGATGCTGCCTCCCAGGAGCCCAAGTACCAGCTGGTGCTGGAGGAAGAGGAGACCATCGAGTTTGTCCGGGCCACTCAGCTGCAAGGCGATGAGGTGAGGAGAGCCCTGGGCCCGGGGGGAGCATGGGGAGCGGCTGGGCGCTCACGCCCTCTCTCCTCCCCAGGAGCCGGCTGCTCCGCCCCCTCCGACCCAGGCCCAGCAGCAGGAGTGCATCCAGGCCGTGCGCCGCAGCCTCCCTGTGTTCCCCTTCCGTGAGGAGCTCCTGGCCGCCATCGCCACTCACCAGGTCCTCATCATCGAGGGCGAGACGGGCTCGGGGAAGACCACCCAGATCCCGCAGTATCTCTTCGAGGAGGTACGGCATCCCCACGCCAGGGGCCGGCCCGCTGAGCCCGGGCCAGTCACAGCCCTTTACCTGACCTTTTCGTAGCTGCTCACTCCCCACGTCACTCAGAGGGGAGGTCTGTCTCCGCTCGCACTCCCTGCCACGTGCCTGGCTGGGAGCGTGTGCGGTGCGGTGGGCGTGAGGGCCCTCACTCCAGTCCAGGAGGCCTCTGCTCCTCCACGGGCAGAGAGACGCGTCCCTGCTCCCTGCCTACTCGCCCCCTCCAGAGTCTGCCCCCTGCTCTGTCCTTTCCCAGCGCAAATCTCACTGAGCCCAGGACTACTTCTTAATGATTTTAATGAGTTTTTTAGAGGGAGGGAGAGAGTGATAGAAACATTGATCAGTTGCCTTCTGCACACCTTCTACTGGGGATCAAGCCCGCAACCCAGGAATCGAGCTGGTGACGTCTTGGTGCATGGGTCGACACTCAGTCCACTGAACTCAGAACTTGATCCGCAAAGGGCTGGGATTGCCAGGGCTGGCTGAGGACCCTGGAGGGCCTGGGTTTGCCATTCCATTTGTTTGTCCTTCTTGTCTGGGCTTTAGCTTCTGTCTGTCTGCTCCCTCCTCCCCACCTTCCTCCCTCCCCACCGCATTTATGACTGTTTTCTCTGAATTGTCTTAGGTAACAGTGCCATATTTAACAAAGGGAATGCCTCTTCTTCCTCCTTTTTTGTTTATTTATTGCTGAGAGAGAGGAGGAGAAAGAAACATTGACTTGTTGCTTCACTTATTGATTCATTCATTGGTGGTTCTGTATGTACCCTGACTTTGGTGTATCAGAGCAATACTCCAACCAGGTGAGCTGCTGGCCAGGACAGGACCTCACCCTTCTCTGTCACTCAGGGTTATACAAAGAAGGGTCTGAGGATCGCCTGCACCCAGCCCAGGAGAGTGGCCGCCATGAGCGTGGCCGCCCGAGTTGCCCGGGAGATGGGCGTGAAGCTGGGGAATGAGGTGAGCTCTGGAGGGATTGGGGTTCGCCCCACACGGGCCCGACACGCCCTTCAGAGCACTCCAGCCCACTCCGCGCTGGTGGCCCCGGCAGGTTGGCTACAGCATCCGCTTTGAGGACTGCACGTCGGAGCGGACCGTCCTCCGCTACATGACCGACGGGATGCTGCTCCGCGAGTTCCTCTCGGAGCCTGACCTTGCGAGTTACAGGTAGACCCAGTCCCTCCCACGGGAGAGCAGGCCGACGGCCGCTCCGGTCGCTCACTGCGCCCTGTCCCCGCAGCGTGGTGATGGTGGACGAGGCTCATGAGCGGACCTTGCACACAGACATCCTCTTTGGGTTGATCAAAGATGTGGCTCGCTTCCGACCGGAGCTCAAGGTGCTGGTGGCTTCAGCCACGCTGGACACTGCCCGCTTCTCCGCCTTCTTTGACGACGCCCCCGTCTTCCGGATCCCCGGGCGCAGGTTTCCGGTGGACATCTTCTATACCAAGGTGCTCCCCACGGATGGGCCTGCGGGTGAGGCCTGCGGCGGGGAGCTGTCCACAGAGGGCCTGGGTCGGAGCGGGCGGGGAGGACGGGCTGCCTGAGCACATGCCTCCCTGTGCCCTCTCCTCGCCAGGCTCCAGAGGCCGACTACCTGGAAGCCTGTGTGGTGTCTGTGCTGCAGATCCACGTGACCCAGCCTCCCGGGGACGTGCTGGTGTTCCTGACGGGACAGGTGCGGGGGCTCCAGGGGAGGCAGGCCGGAGGGTCAGGGCGGCCTCTGTGACCGGGCCCTGCTGCTCTCCCCAAACCCAGGAGGAGATCGAGGCCGCCTGCGAGATGCTCCAGGACCGCTGCCGCCGCCTGGGCTCCAAGATCCGGGAGCTGCTGGTGCTGCCCATCTACGCCAACCTGCCCTCCGACATGCAGGCTCGCATCTTCCAGCCCACGCCCCCGGGGGCACGCAAGGTGAGCGAGCGCCGCCCTGGTGCTGGGGTGGGCTGGCGCGGGCGCGTCTGTGCCTGCTCTGGAGAGGACGCACAGATGCAGGCCTTTTGTTAGCAGGAGCAGGCGGTGAGCACGTGAGGAGTGGTGAGACCCGGGGTGCGGGAGGGGGTTTATCTGCACCCATAACAAAGTTTCAGGGTCCGGAACCGGTTTGGCTCAGTGGATAGAGCGTTGGCCTGCGGACTGAAAGGTCCCAGGTTCGCCGAAGCCAGTTTGGCTCAGTGGTAGAGCATTAGCCTGAGGACTGAAAGGTCCCAGGTTCGATTCCGGTCAAGGGCATGTACATTGGTTGCGGGCACATCCCCGGTAGGGGGTGTGCAAGAGGCAGCTGGTCGATGTTTCTCTCTCATCGACGTTTCTAGCTCTCTATCTCTCTCCCTTCCTCCTCTCTGTGAAATATCAATAAAATATATTAAAAAAAAAAAAAAAAAATGAAAGGTCCCAGGTTTGATTTCGGTCAAGGGCATGTACCTTGGTTGCGGGCACATCCCCAGAAGGGGGTATGCAGGAGGCAGCTGATCGGTGTTTCTAACTCTCTATCCCTCTCTCTTCCTCTCTGTAAAAAATCAATAAAATATATTTAAAAAAAGAAAAGAAAGTGGCAGGGATGTCAGAGGAAGGCTTATGGTGTGACTGAGGTCAGAGTGCACGGCTCAGTGGCAGGTTCGTGAGAAGCAGTGGGAGACAAGGCAAAACCACATCTGGACCAGGTTAGGGAGGGCCTCGGGTGGCAGGTGCCCAAGTTTGGACTTCAGACTGAATGGCAATCGCAGGATTTTGAGCAAAGTGCGACTTTGATCAAATATCGAACGGGTTCTTACAGGCTCTTCTCCGGGGAGGGGCTAGGTGGAGGCAGTTCCTGGCCTCCAGGGGGGTCAGGCAGACGGTGCCGGGAGGAGGCGTGAGGCCTGGTGGGACTTTCCTGGGAGTGTGGGTGAGGCCCTCCCTCCCCAGTCAAGTGGAAGCGAGACAGAGGCTTGAACTGGATGAGGAGGGAACCAGGCAGACAGACAGGTCAGGAGGGCTCACACCGCGTGGGCGTGGCTATCACTCCAGCAGGATGGGAAGCGGCAGGGAGGGAGGTGAGGAGAGGTGTGTTTTAAAAGGACCATTCGGATGCCACATACCTCCCATCTCTGAAACCTCAACCTCTTCTCTATTTCCTTCCCACGTCATGCCCTGGCTGAACCCCACTGCCCCTCACCCTCCTCCCAGCCTGTCCTCCTGGGACTAGACACGAATTTCCTCATCTCCTGCCCTTATCTGCCCCTGCTGTCTGCTCCAAATCTCCCAGGACTCCTCTTCCTACATCGCTGAGGGGTTGGGGTCTCTGAGTGACTGACAGCCTCTCACTCAGGTGGTTGTGGCAACCAACATCGCCGAGACTTCCCTCACCATCGAGGGCATCATTTACGTGCTGGACCCAGGGTTCTGTAAGCAGAAGAGCTACAACCCTCGCACAGGCATGGAGTCGCTCACGGTCACTCCCTGCAGCAAGGTCAGCCCTGCTTCCGTGCCTCTCCACGGGGGGCGGGAGGCAGGATGGACCACAGGCAGGCCCCTTCTAGAGGCCGGAACCACAGCCTCCTAGAGTTCTTGCATAAACACTGCCTTTCTCACCCCCACCCAGTTGTCAGCTGGCCTGTCTTTCCTTCCTTTCCAGGCCTCAGCCAATCAGCGAGCGGGTCGGGCTGGCCGGGTGGCGGCCGGGAAGTGCTTCCGCCTGTACACCGCCTGGGCCTATCAGCATGAGCTGGAGGAGACCACGGTGCCCGAGATCCAGAGGACCAGCCTGGGCAACGTGGTGTTGCTGCTCAAGAGCTTAGGTGATTGGGGTTGTCTGGGCCCCCGGAGGCCGGGCTGGAGCCACTGGTCCTAGGAAAGGGGCTCCATTCTACCCGCGCTTCTCTGCAGGGATCCACGACCTCATGCACTTTGACTTCCTGGACCCTCCCCCGTATGAGACCCTGCTGCTGGCGTTGGAGCAGCTGTATGCTCTGGGAGCCCTCAACCACCTTGGGGAGCTCACCACGGTGAGGTAGAGGCTGCGGGCTGGGCGGGAGGACCGACACCTGCCGAGAACCAGCTCAACCCTCTCTCTCCTCCCCTTAGTCTGGTAGGAAGATGGCAGAGCTGCCCGTGGACCCCATGCTCTCTAAAATGATCCTGGCTTCTGAGAAGTGAGTCCCCCCATCCAGCCAGGCCTCCTGCAGTCTCTGGGGCCATCTTTGTTCCTTTTCTCTCTGCCAACTTCTTTAACAAATAACAAGTTGCTAGAGAACGCTTACTGCCCCCTTTGAGGCCCACAAGGGCCAGCAGACACTGTCCTTGACAGTGACGTGAAATGGGTAAGATGGGCAAACACACAGGAAATTGGGGGCATGAGGGAAGTGGAAGGCTTTTCATCTCTGAGGAGTGCTGAGTGAGGGCCGGTTTGGGGACCGGCTCATCCTAAGGCTCAGACTGGAGCATTTAGCTGTGGCTGTGGAGGGACCACCTTTAAATGCCGTGGCTGGGGTCAGAGGTCATCACATGAGCTTAAAGGAAGCAGTCTTTCCCCGATGCACACTGCCCCCCTTGCCTCTGGCTCCTCAGCGGCCCGTCCTTTCCTCTGCAGTGTCCATCTGTCCTTGTCAGCACAGCCCTGAGCTGCTGGCACCGCCCCCAAATCTAGCTACTCTAAGTGCCCCGCCCTGTCCTGCCGGGCGGTCCCCCTGTGAGGACAGCCACACCGTGGTCTCTCCCCCCAGGTGTCTGTCCCTCCGTCTCGCTTTGAGCGCTCAAGCTTTTTCCCTTCCTGCCCAGGTACAGCTGCTCAGAGGAGATCCTGACAGTGGCCGCCATGCTGTCCGTCAACAACTCCATCTTCTACCGGCCCAAGGACAAAGTGGTCCATGCGGACAACGCCCGAGTCAACTTCTTCCTGCCTGGGGGCGACCACCTGGTCCTGCTCAACGTGTACACACAGGTCGCTGGGCTCGGGAGAGTGCGAAGGCGGGGGCCGCAGGGGACCCTGGTCCAATACACTCACCCCTCTGCCCTCCTCACAGTGGGCCGAGAGTGGTTACTCTTCCCAATGGTGTTACGAGAACTTTGTCCAGTTCAGATCGATGCGCCGAGCCCGCGACGTGCGGGAGCAGCTGGAGGGGCTCCTGGAGCGGGTGGAAGTTGGCCTCAGCTCCTGCCAGGGGGACTATATCCGTGTCCGCAAGGTCAGCGCCCCTCCCGCAGCCCCCGGGCGGGCAGCCCTCCCGCCTGCGCTGGGGCAGGCCCGCTCCCCGGGGCTCTTCACACACCTCCCCTTCCTGGTTCTCCAGGAGCCTGAACTAAGACCGAAAAGGTGGCGAGGGCTGAGGGCCCTGCCGCCTGGCCTGCCCTCCCATCGAGGCTCTCCTGCCTGCTCCCTAGGCCGTCACCGCCGGCTACTTCTACCACACGGCACGGCTGACGCGCAGCGGCTACCGCACGGTGAAGCAGCAGCAGACCGTGTTCATTCACCCCAACTCCTCCCTCTTTGAGGAACAGCCTCGCTGGCTGCTCTACCACGAACTTGTTTTGACCACCAAGGAGTTCATGCGGCAGGTGAGGGTTCCACCCTGCCCTGGCCGGGGGCCGCAGCAGAGACGAGGGGTGCTCTGGCCAGCTCAACCAGGTTCAAGTCGCTGGCCTGGCAGAGGGACAGCAAACAGACTGGTTTAAGGAAGGATACGCTCCAAAGACACCCTTCCTAACAGCTGACTGGGTGTCAGATCTGACCATCCACCATGAGCATTTGAAAGGCTGTCGCCTCGGACTCGGAGCTGGGGGTGATGGTGAACAAAGCAGATGTGGCCTCTGCCCGAGTGTGCTTTACAGTTTTCATGCGGGCCTGAGGGGGAGCCTCTCGGGAACCTGAGGAACACGTGGGGGCATGCCAGCCTCTGGGGCAGATGGTGCAGAGCTCTGAACCTTTATAAATATATTTTTATTGATTTCAGAGAGGAAGGGAGGGAGAGAAACCTTGAGAATCACTGTACAGCTGCCTCCTGCACGCCCCCTACAGGGGAGCAAGCCTGCAACCCAGGCAAGTACCCTTGACCGGAATTGAACCCGGGACCCTTCAGTCTAGCCCGAGGCTCTATCTACTGAGCCAAACAGGCCTCTTTGAGCTCTCACACAAGAATCTAGGTTGGAAAGACAGGATCACTCCTGGTTTCTCTCCCCTTCTAGGTATTGGAAATTGAGAGCAGTTGGCTTCTGGAGGTGGCACCTCACTATTATAAAGCCAAGGAGCTAGAAGATCCCCATGCTAAGAAAATGCCCAAAAAAACAGGCAAGACCCGTGAAGAGCTAGGGTAAAGAAAAGCTAAACAGAACACAACACCAGCTCCATGTTATTTAACGTCCATTAATAAAGGTAATTTTGGAATAAAGCTTGTGGGAACTTTTGTAAGCTAGAGAAAGTGATCTCATACTTTCACTTTAGACTTTATTATTTACAAGTTAAATTACACAGCAGCTTTCCACAGCAGGAGATGGCGAGGAGGGAGGGAGGAGCAGGAAGAAACTGGCCAGCCCACCTCTCGTATGCAGCAGTTTTCAGTGCTGCCCCACCCGTTCCTGGATGAGGCCTTGGGTCACAGGTGTAAGTTGGCTTCTGGCTCTGACAGCCCCAGCATCACCAGGGCTCCCACAAGCAGCTTCTTCACAGGCATTGGGGGTGAGTGTGAGGGCATCAACTGCCCGGAGGAAGTGACTGCATTAGCAGGGTGCTGCCCCTCCCCCGTCCCCCCTCCCCGTCCCCCCTGGGACTCACTTTGTCTAGGCGGTGGCGATAAATGAGGCCGCTGGAATTCAGGTAGAAAGTGGAATAGGCATCGTAGGTCCTGGTGAAGGAAGAGAAGCTGAAGGGAAGGTGACTGATCCCAAAGATTAACTCAAGCATTTGCTTAAACGCCTAGTTCTTTAACTGCTACGTTCTAGTGTCAGATCACCTGGGGACTGAAGCATCCTGATGGCCAGGTTGCACCCCGTCACAATAAAACAGAACGGCTGGCACCAAGATGATTCCACTGTGCCGCAGTCCACGAACTGCTGATTCGGGGTGAGCCTAACAATTTCTTGGGAGCCTACTTTGCCAGAAATTTACCAAGTACTTTACCTAAGGGTGTGAGGCAGAAATTTTCATTTGTTCAGTAAATATTTGAATTCCTACCTATGTGCCAGGTGATAGGCACAAACAAGCAGAGTTCAGAGGTCCTCTCATGTACTCAAAGTCCCATTTTTGTTCCAAAAAAGGAGACTAAACCAAGACCCCTGCCCTCAAGGATCCTCAGTGAAGACGGGTAGATGAAGGTTAGTTATCGAGGAGACTAACAGTCCCGAACGGAACGTGTGGGGACGCTGGGGGGGGTCTTCCTCAGCCCCTTACCGGTAGAGCTCTTCCTTGTCGCGCTTGTAGAAACGCAGAAAGAGCATGTGGATGGGTAGCCCCACCAGCCGCCAGCGGGCTTGCAGGGTCCAGTTCTCAGGGTGGCGGGTCAACTGCAGCACCTCCAACTGAACTTGTGCAAAATAGTTCCAGGCCAGGAAGCGGCAGAGGGTCAGCGACAGGATATACCACGTCAGGCCCCTGAGAAGAAGGGATGGGAAAGAAAGCTCACGCAGAGCCAGAAGACAGAGCCACATAAGAAATGGGAAGCGGCCTAGCACCTTCCCTAGAAAGCACACAGCAGGGGCTCCTCCCTCCCCCTGCCCACAGCCTGCCCGGGACTCACTTGGTGCGTATGTGCAGGATCTCGTTGATGAACTCCACGTCGGAGGAGTAGAGGGTGTAGTCATGGGAGTGAAGGAAGAGAGTGGGAAGCTAGGTGCAAGAGGAAGGCATCACCCAGTGGGAAAGGAAAGATGATCCCATTTCTCAGCTTTCTATTCTTAGTGCCTCCTTCCCTCTGCATGGGAGGTCATTTTCAAGCCATGTATAACGCCCTTAACCCACATGAGGACTCCTCTCTCTGGGAAATGTTTGGAAATGTTTCTATGCTCGCCTGTGGTTCCAAGAAAGAATCCAGTTGACTAACCCTCTAACTCCAAGGTTACCTGCAGTCCCACCAGGTGGATGAAGGTCACTTCTGAATTGACTTACCTCTTGCCTCAGTCTCTCATACATGACAGCCAGGTGCTCCTCCATACTGGGGTCTCCTGATGGAGTGGCAGGGGAAGGGCGGGCAGTCACAGGGGCTTGGAAAGACAGCACAGCCCCAAGGTAGGGGCACGAAGGTCCCTCAAGTAGGCTCCGAAGCCCATCCAGACAGCCACTATGCAACTCAGGGCCTGGCCCCTCCTCCCCCTTTCCTGGAGGGAGACTGGCCCAGGGTGAGCTGAGGGCGTGGACCTGAGGGAGAGGTAGCGGGGGAGCTCGGGGAAGCAGCCCAGCAGGCGGCCATGAGAGTGCGGGAGACCACAGCAGAGAAGAGGGAGAAGTGGAAGTCGTGGAGTGGGGCCACAGGGGTGGGAATGGCAGAGCCCGTGGAGAAAGCTGGTCCTAAGGAGGAAGAACGAAAGGAAAAACGATAACCCCGCTGCCTGATGGCCTTCGCCCAAACTCGCATTAACGCTTCACGTCCACCCCTCCTCGGGCCGGGAATTGCTCAAGGAAAAGGGGCTGGATTCACCTCCCTCTTCAAAAGGAAAGTTTCCTACGAAAAGACAAGCACCTCCCCCAAACGGTTAGCGAATGCCTTTTCATTTAAGATTCCAATACTTTGGGGGGCAGTTCCAGCGCTCCAGGAGCGAGAATCACTCGGCGTGTGAGGAGCGGACAGGAGGAACCGCGTGCCATTGCGCCGCGGGGAGGCGTGGCCCGCAGGCTGCACGAGGTGAGGCGGAGGCGGAGATCCAACGGAACCGGAGCCGGAACCGGAGCCGGAACCGGAGCCGTGTGAGCGCCAAGCCTTCCGCACTCCCGTTCCCTGCGAACCCTCTTATGGCGGCGGCGGAGGAAGCCACCGCTTACGGCAAGGGCTCTACCATCACGCTGGACAGCCCTGGACTTCTAAAGCGGCTCAAGGTACGCTATCACTTCGGGCCCCGCTGACGACACGGCCCAGGAGCCTAGCAAAGGCTGCACTTCACTCCTGCTTAATGACCTTGAAACTGATGCGGAGGAGGGAGGTCACCCCAAGTCTGGCTGACCAAGTCCCCGCGTCACTCCATCACTCCGGGGGCGTGGCCATCCTGCCCACCTGGGCGCAGGGCCCGAGCCGCCCAGGGGTCCGAGGCCGCCTTCCTGCCGGGACCGCTATCCGGATGCAAGGTCTCCGGGCGGCGCCGCGCCGGGTGCGGTGCGTGCGAACCTATCCGCCCCCCGCCCTTCAGATCACCTCCAGGCACAGACCGCGGCGGAGACGTGGGCGTCCCCCCCCCCACAAGACCCGGAGCAACGACCAGGGCCGGCAGCGCCCCTCCCGCGCCCGCCACTCCGGCCTCCGGCACGGCCGGCACGGGGAGTGCGGTGGGCGTCCCTGCGCCTGCGCAGACCGCGCGCCCCGCCCTCGCGCGGCTGGAGGGTCCCCCGCCCCGCCTCCCTGCCGGGCGCCCCCTCCTCACCTGGGGCCCAGCCTGGTAGGCGCGGAGGCACGGGCCCAGGCGCCGGGCCGCCCCCCTGCTGGGTTGGTACATGGTGTTCCGGGAGCGGGGAGCGCGCCTCCGAGTGCGGCTGCCCCTCCTGGCGGGGTGAGCGCGCCCCGCAGCCGGCTCCTTGAAGGGGAGAGGAGGGGGCCCGGGCTGCGAGGAGGGAAACGGAGACGGTGCGCGCCTGCGCACTGCGGCGGGCCGGGCGAGGCGGCGGTCTGCTGTTAGTGCGCCTGCGCCTGCGCCAGCGGCCGAGCCCGCCTTAGCGCGCCTGCGCAGAAAGCCCGCGGCCGCGCGCTTCGCGCCACCCCGGGCGCTAGCGCAAGACGCCGGGCGCAGAGGCTGAGGGAAGTAGCGAGTCAAGCTCCCCGGCAGCGCCCTGAGAGCGAGGCTTTATTGCTCTGGCCGGAGGAGTGCTTCGGCGGCCCACAGGCCTGTTGAATGAGTGAACGAGTGAAGGACGCCCCCGGCAGGCGGCCGTGCTGCTCGGCGGGAGGCGGCGACTGCGCGCGGCGCTGCATCACCAGGGCCTGGTGCTGCGGCGTTCCTGCAAGTTCCGGATGACCCTGGCGTTGAACACGTCCGCCGGCACGGTGCAGTGCTGGGCTGGGGGGGCCGGGGCCTGTGGAGGCGCCGTGTGCGTGGGGGCCTCCCCACACCCATCCTGTGACAAGGTCTCCTCGGCGGCGGCCCTGGGGTGGGGGAGGTGAGAGGCGGTTAGAGGCCCCGGGGGGCATTAAGATCACACTCAGGGTCTTCCTGGCTCTTAGGTAGAGGAGGACAGTGATGGAAGCACTGGTGCTATGTCCAAAAAGTGCCCGAGGAAGTGCCAGGGTTGAATTTATAGGGAAACAGGCTTGTAGGATGTTCGGTAGAAGGATTTTTTTTTTTTTTTTTGGGGGGGGGCAGTTGGAAGGATAAGATTTCAGGAGCTGAGAGAGACATTCGGAAAAGAGGCAGAGGCAGAGGTGCGGGAGACCAGGAGAGAAGGGGATCAGGCCTCACCTAGTCTCTGTTTCCTGTTCCCCCTGCTTCCATTCTTGGCTGTCTGTGGAAATACCAGGCATGTGCATGGGAAGGCTGGAGCGGGCAGGGAGCATGACCTGCTTGATTTGAGGGCAAGGAGGGAAGAATACTTACCTGCGTTGGGGGATGAGGAATTCAGCCCGCCATAGCGGCTGTAGCAGCGGCTCTGGGCTCCCAGCCCTGGGGGAGCCCCCCTGTGGGAGAAATGGGAGGTGATGGGGAAGGGGCTGCTGGAGGGGGAGAGAGGGGAAGGGGGTGTGAAAGAACCAGGAGAGGAGTAAACAGAATAGCATGGCGTACAGAGGGGGCAGTTAGACTTCTAGGTCAAGAGGAGTGGTTTGGCACTGCCCAGAGGCCTGTTGAATGAGTGAACGAGTGAAGGGACGTTCACTTTAAGCAGCCCCGAAAGGGGGAGGGAGCTCATTTTATACCCAAAGACTTTCTGGAGCAACCTTGATTCATTGCTTTACTATTTCTAGTTGGAGTAAGGTGTTAATAAAGTGATGCAAATCATCTCAAGAAACAGACTTACACACAGGTAAGCCAATCTGTTGGACCAGGTGCCCAGATGTTTGGTTTGGAAAACGGTTGCCTTAATTAAGGGAGTGGCAAAGCTGATTCAGGAAGAAAGGGAGCAAGCCTTTGAAGAGAGTGACAGACTGTTGGGCCCTAACAGAGGTAAGGGACTATCGGGAGAGGTGCCAGGGTTTGGTGGGGGAGAAGGAACCAGAATGGAAAGAGGAACCCAGGAGACCATTACAGGGATGCAACAAGTAGGTCCCAGGAACAATGGTAAACCTCGACATCTCTGCAAGGGCTGCCTGGGTCAGAGGGTCGGGTCAGGCAGGAGAGCCCGGGCTTGGGGGGAATGGGGAAGTAACAGAAGCCTCCGCAGAGGGACCCAGCAGCTGCAGGAGGGGAGCCAGGATCTGGGCAGGAGACCCAGCAGTGCAATGGGGAAGGTAGACCTCAGCAGCGAGGGAGACCAGCAGGACAGAGGTGCCAGGTCCCAGGAAAATCAGGAGGTCGAGACCTTAAGTTGCTTTTTGGGGTGTGCTTTTTTTCATTGAAAATGTCCATTTAAAAAACACAAAGGAATTCACACTTTATTCAAACAACACTGAGAGGAAGAAGAAAAGGAGGAATGAGGAGGGAGAAAGGGAGATCCTGCTCCCGCGGATTTGGGGGAACACAGTGGGGGCACCTAATGGACCGCACATTCAGAGGAAGGAGGTTTGACGCCTGGGTGTGCAGCAGGGAAAACGGCTCTTGCTATGGAGGAAAGAAGAGAGGAAGTCCAACAATCTCACAACAAGGAATATGTCAGTGTCTAGCTACTGGGGGAGGACGGATCCGGGAGCTAACAGGCCCTGGAGACTCAGGCTTCTCGAGTGAAACCGGCTAAGATGACCCCTCTCGGACCCAGGTTCTCGCTGAGATCTGCTGCGGAGAAACGAAGTCCCTCAGAATGGCCTGGGGTAGTGCTGTCTTCAGAAGTGCGAGTCTAGCCCAAAGCAGACTTCAGCTCAGGGCTCCCTGACACACAGGCAATGAAGAGCTCAGCCATGGTGGGGTCCCTGAAGGAGCTGTAAGTCCCTGTCCTATCCGCCTGGACTGCTCCGAGGCAACCTCACAGGCTGCTGTGGCGCTGAGGGCAGTGAGGGCGGCACACAGCAGTACAGGGGCCTTCAGGGGCACTAGAGTGGGAGACACTGATTCCAGGGACCAGTTGCTGCGGAGGCCTGGGGCCGCCATGGTGGTCTGGAGTCGGACAGCGGCCAGGGTGCTGTGGACCGCAGGAGGGGCTGCGCAGAGGCAGCGCTGGGGCTGGGGGTGCTTCTAGGGCAAGGAGAGCTACAAGGTCGTGGCCACTGTCCCAGAGAGAAGAGGGAGTCTGGGCTGTCGGGCTCCACGGGCCCTGGGGGACACACTGGAAGGGAAGGGGTGGGTTTCTGGGGGACGGGTCTCGGCCATCGAGGCTCCCAGGGGGCAGAGGGTTAACTGTCAGTAGCGACTGTCCTCAGAGCGGGGAAGGGAGCTGTGGGAGGGTGGGAGGGCAGGAGGTAGGGAGAGGGGAAGGGGGAAGAGAAAAAACGGAAGTCAGGTGAAGAGGAAGCTGGGAGAGAAACGAGATGCCCACTCGGCCGTGGGATGGCTCCTGCCTGTGTCAGGCAGGCACTCTCCTTCCCGCAGGGACTACACCCTCCCCCCAGCTCAGCCCACGGAGCTGGCTCCTTCCCCCCTGCAGGCCTGCTCCGCTCTGCTCCCTCACCCCAGCCCACGCACAGCTCGCGCCTCCCCTCCACCGCGCACCGCGCACCGCCGTACCTGGTGCGCCGGCGCTGGGCCGGGCTGGCCGCGGGGTCGGTGGCCAGCAGGAGCCGGGCGGTAGGGTGAGGGGGGCAGAGGCGCAGGGAGCGCAGCAGCTCCTGCTCTGGCACGAAGGGGCGGAGGGGCCCTCGCTCCGGCGAGTTGCCCAGGCTGCTGGAGCGCGGCGGGTGGGCTGGAGGAGTGGCCCGGCGAGGGGCTCTGTTCAGGGGCCAAGGAGGCTCCACAGCGACCTTCAGGACTGGGAGGAGCACAGAGAGATGGGGAGGGGAGGGGAGGTCAGAGCCCGCACGAGAACGGGTCCTCCCTCCCTGCGGTGGGCACCACCCCCGCACACCCTGCCCTTACATTCTCGGTCGCTCGAGGAGTATGGCTTAATGTCTCCCTCTGTTCTCTTGGGAGGCAGCTTCCTCGCTGGAGCTGGCGGTGAGAAGACACAGGTACGGGGAACACCAAGAGACACACTTGGTACCTTCCCCCGGCCACGACCCGCGACCCAGACCTCTGCTCCGGGACACCACTGCTCCGGGACACCACGGCGCCCCCACAGGAGGAAGCCGGGAGGGGAGGGAACGCAGCGTGAGGGAGGGGGCACAGGAGGGCAGCCAGGGAGGTGAGCTCTTACTGCCCTGGGTGCTGTCAGCCCTGGGGTTCTGGGCAAAGAGGTGGTCCCAGTCGGGCCAGCGAGGACCGGGCCCTCTACTAGGCGAGCAGGGATTGCTCAGGAGAGGCAGCAGGGCCTCCCCCGCAGGCTAAGTCTTATTGGGAAGAAGGCTGAAGAGAGCACCTGGCCGGCCGAGGGGAGGCTGGCATGCTGGGAGGCTCTGCCTCCGCCCTCTCCCTCAGGAGGGTCTCCCGCAGGAGACCAGGAGCAGCTTCCGGGCAAATGTCCTTGGGCTTTCTCCTGCTGCTGTGGGCTCAGGGGCTCCCCCCTGGCAGCCATGCCCAGCAGGGCGGGCGCGGGAAGCCTTGGCGCCCGCAGCCAGGCATGGACAGGAGTCCCTCCTGAGGCCAGACACTGGCTGACGCCGAGAACTGTGCCAGCCTGTCCTCTGAGGGATAGTTACCGCCCTCCCTGGCCAAGGACGAGGCGGTGCTGGTCACAGCCGCCCGCCCGGGAGGGCCCCTCTTTGCGGTGTGCTCACTCAGCCAGCACCAGGCAGCAGGGTGGAGTGGGGCTGACAGGGAGCGTGAGGAGGGCCTGGGCAAAGGGGCAGCATTTCAGTACCTCCGAGGTCTGGTGTCTCCAGATCCATTTCATTATTTGGTTGGAATGTTATAAATTCTGAGTGTTATCTTCTAAAACTAATGTTTGCACTTTGTACCATTTGTGCCAACATTCTCTAACTGCACATGGGGGGGCTAGCTGCACATGCCTGTCCCTCACCAACGGAAGGAGTGCGGGATTTACAAAGGAACGGACTCGCCTACTTTTGAGGACCTGAAGCAACCAGAAGTTCATGGGCATTAACGGTCCAACAGGCTCCAAGAGCTAGCCTAGCTACACACCCCACACGCCGCGATGGGAGAGGCAGGTGAGATGGCTGGAGGCGGGCTGCTCAGCCTGTCACCGCTCCCACAGACCCCCGCTCTCCCAGCCACAGCCCGCCTGGCAGTGCAGTTACCGGCCGGCGCAGGGTCCCCCGCAGCGCGCGAGTGTCGAATTGCCCTCAGAGAGGGAGCAGGGGGCCCTGTGAGAAAGGAAGTGGAGGTGCCCCTCAGTGAGGGGACCAGGGGGACCAGGAATCCACCTCTTTTCTTTCCCTCGCCAACTATTGGACCCACACACACAAGGGGAGAACACTTACGATGCTGGTGGGCAAAGAAGCCTTCAAAGATCACGAAGTTGTTCACCTATAAGACAAAACAGGCAAAATGGGGTCGTCCGTTCAGCCTCTCAAACGCTAGAAAGCCGGGGGGGAGAGGAAAAGCCTGCGTCAAGTGAACCCACATTGGCAAGGAAGGCACAAGACCGCAAAGAGCCAGAAACATCTTGAGAAAGGAGAGCGAAGTTAGAGGAATCACACTTCCTGGTTTCAGTGCCACAAAGTCACGGTCATCGAAGCGATGCGGTGGAAGCCGAAGAACAGACAGTGACAGAGTCCCAGAATACGAGCATGTGTTTGTGGTCAGCCGACTTTCTACAAAGGTGCCAGGCGCCATTCCACGGGGGAAGAGCAGTCTCTCCAACAAATGGCATTTAGACAACTGAAACTCCGCATGCAAGTTAGTGAATTTGGACCTCTATTTCACACCATAGCCAAACACACAGACACACAAATAAACATGGATCTAAGAGAGAAAACTATGAAAACCTTACAAAGAAACACTGAGGAAAATTATCACCTTGGATTGGACAATTTCTTAAATATGACATAAAAAGCACAAATAACATTCATCAAAAGTACTCTTCCTCACTTTTCCCCTTTCGTTCTCCTGTTTCTCTTAGACTATTCCTGCTTTAGATTTTCCCTATGCCTTCTTTTTACCCCGTTAAAAATTCATTCTACTTATATATCTAATTTCCGACCCCCTGCTCTAAGTCCATACACACCTCTCTCTTTTCTTTGTTCACTATCCAAATTTTTTCTCTCTTCCCCCTTTTTGTTGGATTGTTTTTATTTTGTTGTTTTTTTATGTTTTTGTTTTATTTTGTTTTGCCCTTCTTTCTCTCCATCCTATAGTTGTGATTATTAATTAGATTAGGTTTTTTGGTTTGTTTCTGTGATTGTTTCTCTTTGCTTCTGTTTTTTCTCTCCTCAATTGTTATTAGTTGTTGTTTGTAGTCTGCATTCATATCTGGGTGTTAGCTGTTTGCATATTTTGGGATTAGTTGTTCTATTGAAGTTTTCTCCCCATATAAATAGGCTTTTCCCCCTTTGTTATTCTCTTTTCTTTTCTTTTTCCTTTTCTCAATATCATTTTTGCACTCTTTTTTTTTCTTAATCCCCTAATTCTCTTTTCTGATGGCATCTATATTTGGGGTTATTAGTGTTGTGAATACATTTGTGTTCGGTGCCTTCTGTGTTGTATTTTGTGCCTTTAAGTCAATGCAGGAGAGAGAGAGAGAGCTACACAACCAGACACCTGGAGAGGAGAGATCATGGGGAGACAAACAGTCCACATTTGAAAGAAAAGGAGGCATCAACAGAAAAAGAAGTAAACAAAATGGAGGCAAGCAATATGTCAGAGAAAGAATTGAAAGAAATGGTCATAAGGTCACTGAGAAGGTTGGAAGACAAATTCAACAATATGTGTAAGAACGAAGAGGAAATAATGAAGAAATGAAAAATGACATCACTTCAATAAAGAACTCAATAGAAAGCATCAACAGTAGACTAGAAGAAGCAGAGGATAGCATCAGTGAGCTAGAAGACAAGGTAGGAAAAAATACCCAAGCAGAGCAGCTTCTAGGAAAAAAAAAAAAATTAAAACACAGGAGGAGAGGCTAAGGGAACTTTGAGACACCACGAAATGAAACAACATCCACACAATAGGTTTGCCAGAAGGAGGAAAGTGAGCAAGGAATAAAAAACCTGATTGAAGCCAGGATCAGTTTGGCTCAAGGGATAGAGCGTCGGCTTGGGGACTGAAGGGTCCCGGGTTCAATTCCAGTCAAGGACATGTGCCCTGGTTGCGGGCACGTCCCCAATGGGGGGTGTGCAGGAGGCAGCTGGTTGATGTTTCTCTCTCATTGACGTTTCTGGCTATCTCTCTCCCTTCCTCTCTGTACAAAATCAATAAAATATATATATTTTTTTTAAATAAAAAAATAAAAACCTGATTGAAGAAATAATGACAGAAAACTTCCCTGATATAAGGAAAAAAAACTCACACAAGTGCAAGAAGCCCACAGAGTCGCAAACAAAATGAAACCCAAAAGACTGACACCAGATGGAATTAATAGACATCTTCAGAACATTTCACCCCAAAGCCACAGAATATATATTCTTCTCAAGTGTACATGGGTCATTTTCAAAGATAGACCATTGGGACACAGGCAGGGTCTCTTCAAATACAAGAAGATAGAAAACATACCAAGCATCTTCTCATCACAATGGCATAAAACTAGAAATCAACTACAAAAAAAATAAATAAAACACCTGAAGGCTAAATAGCATGCTACTAAACAATGACTGGGTTACCAGAGAAATCAAAGAAGAAATAAAAAGCATCATGGCAAGAAATGACAATGAAAACACAACAATCCGAAATCTATGGGACACAGAGAAAGCAGTCTTGAGAGGGAAGTTCATAGCTCTACAGGCTTACGGTACCTCAAAAAACAAGCAACAATGGTAATAAGTTATCTAATCCTTCACCTCAAAGGGTTAGAAAGAGAGCAACAAGAAAAGCCCAGCATAAGCAGAAGGAAGGAAATAATAAAGATCAGAGTATAAATAAGTGACATAGAGACAAAAAGTAATACAAAAGTTCAACAAAACCAAGAGCTGGTAGCCAGGCTCACCAAGAAGCAAAGAGAGAGGGGACCCAAATAAGGAAAATCAGAAATGAAAGAGGTCAAGTAACAACCATTCCACAGAAATACAATTATAAAAAATAAGTATATATACTGTCAACAACTCTATTCCAACAAAATGGAAAACCGAGATAAAATGGACATATTGTTAGAAAAATATAAGCTCCCAAAACTTAACCAAGAAGAATAAAAAAATATGAATAGGCTGATTACTGCAGAAATTGAAACAGATTAAAAAAAAAAAAAATCTTCCAGAAAACAAAAATCCTGGTCCGGACGACTTCAGATGGGTGTTTTATAAAACATTCAAAGAAGAACAAAAACCTATCTTCCTCAGATTATTCTAAAAAATCCAAGAGGAAGGCACACTTCTAAGCTTTCTATGAAGCCAGCATTACCCTAATCCCAAAACCAGATAAAGACACCACAATGAAAGAGAATTACAGGCCAATATCCCTCATGAACATAGATGCTAAAATCCTCAACAAAATTCTAACAAATCAGATTCAGCAATATATTAGAAAGATCATACATCATGACCAAGTGGCATTTATTTCGGGGATGCAAGGATTGTACCATATTCACAAATCAATAAATGTGATATTCACACAAAATGAGACACAAAATTCACATAATCAAAATTGATGCAGAAAAAGCATTTGATAAAATCCAACACCCTTTCTTGATAAAAACTCAGCAAAGTGGAAATAGAGGGATCAGACCTCAACATAATAAAAGCCCTATATGACAAACCTACAGCCAACATCATACTCAATAGGCAAAAACTAAACCCATTTCCCCTAAGAAAAGAAAAAAAGACAAGGATGCCCACTTTCACCACTCCTGCTCTGCATACTATGGCTAGAAGTAGTAGCCATAGTGATCAGACAAGAAGAAATAAAAAACATTCAAATTGGAAAGAAGCAAAACTTCTTATTAGCAGATGACATGATACTATCTAAAGAAAACCCCAAAGACACCATAAAAAAAACTAATAAATGAATTTGGCAACGTAGCAGGATAAAAAATTAACAACCAGAAATCTATGGCCTTTTTATACACCAATAATGAACTCAAAGAAAGAGAAATAAAAACAAAACAAAAAACAATCCCATTTACCATTGCACCGAAAAAATTAAGATATCTAGGAATAAACTTAACTAAGGAGGTAAAAGACCTATCCATGGAAAACTACAGGACATTGAAAACAGAGATAGAGGAAGAAGTAAACAGATGGAAGAACATACCATATTCATGGATCAATAGAATCAACATCATTAAAATGTCCATACTACCTAAAGTAATCTATATATTCGCTGCAATATCTATTAAAATACCAATGGCATATTTCAAAGATCTAAAACAAACTCGAAAAATACATCTGGAATAGAGACCCTGACCCTGGCTGGCTTGGCTCAGTGGGTAGTGTCAGCCTGCGAACTGAAGGGTCCCAGGTTCAATTCTGATCAAGGGCACATGCCTGTGTTGTGGGCTTGATCCCCAGTAGGGGACATGCAGGAGGCACCCAATCAATGATTTTCTCTCATCATTGATGTTTCTATCTCTCCCTCCCCCTTCCTCTCTGAAATCAATAAAAGATATATTTTTTTTAAAAAGAGAGAGGGAGACCCCGAATAGCCACAGGAATCCTGAGAAAGAAGAACAATGTTGAAGGGATCACAAGACCAGATATCAAGCTATACTACAAAGCCACGTTTTTTAAAACTGCCTGGTACTGACACAAGAACAGGCATTTAGACCAATGGAACAGAATAGAGGACCCAGAAATTGACCCAAGCCATTATGCTCAATATTTGACAAAGGAGGCAAGAGCATACAATGGAGTCACAATAGTCTCTTTAATAAATGGTGGGGAGCCAAAACCGGTTTGGCTCAGCGGTAGAGCGTCGGTCTGCGGACTGAAGGGTCCCAGGTTCGATTCCGGTCAAGGGCATGTACATTGGTTGCGGGCACATCCCCAGTAGGGGGTGTGCAAGAGGCAGCTGGCCGATGTTTCTCTCTCATTGATGTTTCTAGCTCTCTATCTCCCTTCCTCTCTGTAAAAAAAAAAAAAAAATCAATAAAATATATTTTTTAAAAATAAAAAATAAAATAAATGGTGGGGAAATTGGACAGATACATGCAAAAAAAATAAAACTAGACCACCAACTTATACCATACATAAAAACAAACTCAAAATGGCTAAAGGACTTGAATGTAAGATGGGAAACCATAAAGATCCTACAAGACTCCATAGGCAACAAAATTGCCGACATGTCGTAGCAATATCTATACAGACACAGATCCTAGGGCAAGAGAGACTAAGGAGAAAATAAACACATTGGGACTACATAAAAATAAAAGTGTTCTGCACAGCAAAAGAAACCTTCAACGGAGAAACCAAGATTGCGGCATAGGTAAACACCTGAAATTGCTGCCTTGCAAAACTTCAAAACTACAGCTAAAAGACAAAACGAACATCATCTAGAACCACAGGAGGGCTAGCTAAGTGGAAATTCTACTAGAAGGAAAGAGAAAAGCACACTGAGACTCAGAGGAGCTGCGAAAGTAAAGGCAGCGGTACAGAGGCACACGCATGGAAAGGGCTGAATACACGGCTGGCTTTTTAATCCACAGAAAGACACAAGATGCCGACTGCTCTGAACTCCAGTTCCGGGCGAGACTCTGGGAACCCAGACTCATACAGGGAGAAACTGGACTGTTTGGCAGTGGGTGGAACTCAAGGTTGGCTTTCAGAGGTGCTTGCAGCGATTACCGAGGGACATTGAGATCGGGGGCCTCTTGGGGCAGGGCTGACAGGAAGCCATTGCTGTTTGCTCCACCCTGAGACTCCACCCCATCCAAGCTTTGCACAGAGGCTTTTGTGTATTAATGGCCTGGACCTTTGAAATCTAAACTTACCTATCAAACTGCACCTGAGTTAGAGAGACCCAGAACATCCAAAAAAAGGCTCAAGGCCCCACAGCAGCTTGCATTGCTTCACAGCTGGGTCTCATCTGGGCATCTTCAAACCCAAACAAAGAAGAGGAATCTGTACATCTCTCTGTAATTTCAGCTGGGTGGCCTTAGGCAGAGGCTAAGTTAGCATCTCTTTGGAGATCCAACAGTGTACCCAGGGGTCAGAGTGGGACCATCCAAATTACAACTCCTTAGATCCCTAAGGGACACACTCAGGGGGCAGACACAGTGAGCACCAAAGGCCCACTGAGGCAAGTCTTGCCTTCATAAGGGTGTCTCCAGCACAGACACAGCTGATTCTCACAGCCAATTGGCCTAGAGGTCAATTGCTCCCAGTGATACCAACAACATCAAGGCTTAACTACAATACTGTGCATACAGCCCACAAAAGGATGCACCAAGAGTGTCCACCTCAGGTAACTGGGAAGGCTGAGCCACTAGACCCTAAAGGCACCTGGCACACAAAGCCACTCTATCAACTCAGGGAAGCAGCCAAAATGTGGAGATAATGAAACAGGTTACAAATGAAATAAATGGAGGAGAGCAAATGACTGGATATAGAGTCACGGTTATAAAGTTTTTCAAGAATTTTCTAGAAAAGGCTGATAAATTTAGTGAGACCCTTAAGGATATAAAAAAGGACCAACTAGAAATTAAGCATATATTGACTGAAATAAAAAATAATATACAGAGATCCAACAGCAGACTAGAGCAGTGATTCTCAACCTTTCTAATGCCACAACGCTTTAATATAGTTCCTCATGTTGTGGTGACCCCCAACCATAAAATTATTTTCGTTGCTACTTCAAATATCTGTGTTTTCCGATGATAGTGGTTCTCAACCTGTGGGTCGTGACCAGTTTGGCTCAGTGAATAGAGCATCAGCCTACGGACTGAAGGGTCCCAGGTTCGATTCCAGTCAAGGGCATGTACCTTGGTTGCGGGCACATACCCAGTATGGAGTGTGTAGGAGGCAGCTGACCAATGTTTCTCTCTCATCAATGTTTCTAACTCTCTATCCTTTCTCCTTTCCTTTCTATAAAAAAATTAATGAAATATATTTTTTAAAAAAGAATCAAGTCAAAGATATGAAATACAAGAAGAAAAACAAAACAAACAAACAAACAAACACCACCACCCAACCGAAAAGAAAAAAGAGAAAGAATCCAAGAATATGAAGATAGTGTAAGGAGCCTCTGGGACAACCTCAAGTATACCAACATCTGAATTATGGGGGTGCCAGAAAAGAGAGAGAAATAATGACTGAAAACTTCCCCCACCTGGTGAAAGAAATAGACTTACAAGTCCAAGAAGCACAAAGAACTCCAAATAAGATTAATCCAAAGACACATCATAATTAAAATGCCAAGGGGAAAAGACAAAGAGAATATTAAAAGCAGCAAGAGAAAAACAGTTATCTACAAGGGAGTACCCATATGACTGTAAGCTGATTTCTGAATGGAAACCATGCAGGCCAGATGGGAGTGGCAAGAAATATTCTAAGTAATGATTAGCAAGAACCTACAACCAAGATTAGCTATCATTTAGAATTGAAGGTTAGATAAAGAGCTTCACAGATAAATAAAAGCTAAAGGAGTTCATCACCACCAAACCAGTATTATATGAAATGCTGAAGGCTATTCTCTAAGAAGAGGAAGAAGAATAAAATGGTAAAGATAAAAATTATGAGCAACAAAGTGACAACAAATACATATCTATCAACAAGTGAATCTAAAAATCAAGTGAATAAAAAAATCTGATGAACAGAATAATAGAATCAGAGGCATAGACAATTCTCAGGGGGGAAGTCGGTGTGAGGGGTAAGGAAAGAGACCTGACAAAAATCATACACCTATGAATGAGGACGTGGGGGGTGGGTAAGGGCATGAGGTTGGGTGGGACCCAGGTGGAAGGGAGCTATGGGGGGGAGAATGAGGAACAACTGTAATAATCTGACCAATAAAGATTTAAAAAAATAAATACAAAATAAATAAACAAACGAAAGTGATAACATGACAGAAACAAATTGAAAGATAAAAATCACATGATCAATAGTTGCAGAATACGCATTGGAGAGGTGGCCACTGGAGCTGAGGAACCAGCAGGAGCCTGAGGGGGCGCTGTCCAGCGCTATGGGCTGGGAGAATGGGCTCATCATGGAAGTCGGCCAGTGCTGCCCCTACGTGCATGACATCACTTATAAGATAACAAATCGAAAGGTGAAGGAAGTGGATGATGTGCTTGGTGGAGCAGCTGCTGGGAGAATGTGTTCTCGACTGCAGAGCCACGTCCCAAATGTGAACATTCTGTGCCCATTCCATGCCGCTTCAGCCAATGACAGCTTCTACAAGTGCTGCGGCACTCAGCGTGGACACCTGGGCATGGGCCAGGCTGGCCCAGCGCCTTCATGTCTGTTCACCTTATTTCCCAGAGTGGATCTCAGCTGGGCGGGAGCGCTTGTGTCCGGAGGGTCTTTGCTGGTGTGGCAGGAAGTTACCATCCTCTGGGCTGTTGGCCAGCGGTAGCCCATATGCCAGTCGCTGGATGAACTCATTAATGTGCAGCGATACTTTGTGTGGGGGAAAGATTCTCCACAACTAATTATACTCTGCTTAAGTTCCTGTTCATTCATCTTTCACATTTACTGGGAAACCCACCAACACTCTTAAATATTCCTATTATTTGCATAATTAATAAAGTAAAACTTATTTAGCCCATAAATATTTAACTGTTAAATGCAAACTTATTTAATCAAAGTTTATTCTGAATATTTAATGATAATGAAAAGTTTAATATATTGCCTTCTCAGTGTTTTAAATGACTTAAGAAGTAGATGTCAACCGAACTGGCTTGGCTCAGTGGATACAGTATTGGTCATGGACTGGAGGATCCTGGGTCCAATTCCAGTCAAGGGCATCTACCTTGGTTATGGCTTATCCCCAGTAAGGGGCATGCATGAGGCAGCTGATTGATGTTCTGCCCTGGGGCATCATGTTTCTCTTTCTCCGTCTCCCTTCCTCTCTCTCAAAAAAATCAATACAAATATTTAAAAACAAACAAGAACTAGTGACAGGATCTAAGTTATTGGGAAATTGATTGGAACTTAAATTTATGCTTTTGATACAGATTTTTACAACTTGGTATATTTTCCAGAAATGATTACTTTTTTTCCTTTTGTAATTTATTTTTATTTTCACAAGCTATACCATAATAAAACTTTATAAAAGTTACTCATGTGACATATTTCTCTTTAACATTTTATAAGTTAATTAAATGCATGCCACAATAAAATAAAAAAAGGAGAAAAAAGCTTTTGACAAAATCCCAACACCCATTTTTTATAAAAACTCTCAGCAACGTGGGAATAGAAAGAGCACATCTCAACATGATAAAGGCCATGTATGACAAACCTACAGCCAACATCATATTCAATGCGCAAAAAC